GAGGGAGACCACATTAATATACTGGGATTATGAATCAATAAATTATTCACTGAGTGTGGTGAGTGCACATCTTTAACCCAGCACTTGAGGGGTGGAGGCAAGCATATCTCCGTGAGTTCAAGGCTAACTTGGTTTACATATTGAATTTCAGGTCAACCAGGGCTGTATAATAAGACCTGTCTCAAAAACAAGCAAGCAAGCAAAGAACCTCAACAACAACCACAAAACAAAAAATTATCCTGGTTATGTTTTCCTTGTATTTTCAAGTTTCATCTAACAAATTACTTTTAGGAGATTAAAAAAAACTAATCCTTATTATCTTACAGGTCACAGTGTGTCAGAACAAAAACACCCTGGAGGCTTGGAAGTATCTTAGTCCTTGAAGAATCTGGTCGTGAAGACAAAGGGGAGGGAATCTAATTTTTAAGCGGGTGCTGTCCACTGTGGCAAGTATTTCTCCTCTGTCCTCAACACAGTCTCCTTAGTACTGCTGGGGCAGGGTGTGTCAAACACCAAGAAAGCCCAATGAATAACAAGGAAAATCTAGCTGAGGTGGCAGTGCTGGGTGGGGTCAAGGTGGCTGCTTGCTTGAAAGGTGGGTGTTTTGGTGCTCCCATACTGGATGGTGTCTGATGGTGTCCGCAGGTGTCTGTGGCTCCCATACTGGATGGGGTGCATTACAGAACCAGCCTGGCATCCCTGAAAGATCCATGCGACAGCACTGTTCTAAACATTCTGCCCCAGGCCTGAGAGATTCTGCTCTCCTTCATGCTCTAGCCTGCTGAGCTGTCTAGGTCTCCTATCTAGAGAAATGTACCACCAGGTCATGGCATAATATTTAGAACCTTCTTGGCAGATGCCTGGATACTGACCAGAGCTAAATCCTAGGGTTCAAAAAAGACTTTCCAAAAAACTGAGGAGCAATTCTACAGCCTGAAGGAGTGACCTGGCCCACCAGACTTTGTGACGGACAAGGCCCGAGGCAGCTCTGATATGGAGCAGGTACTAGGGCAGCTGTGGTCTCCGTCCTCAGCACACTCTCAATCAGAACTGCTGGAACAGGGTGTGTCAAGGACAGAGTCTGAGAAAGGCCAATTAAGGGCAGAACACCTTCCATTAAGGATTTTGGTTGGTTTGCTTTGTGAATTAGCAAATGAACTCTCTTACCCACCTCACTGATGGTTAGAGTCCCACATCTTCTCCTTATCCCTACCCATGCTATGACAATGAAAAACTTCTCAGGGGTGCAAGCAGCAATAGGCTAGGGGGAAGGGGCTTGGCTTCGGGATACCCTTCCTAAGGCCATTATTACAGAATGATGATGAGAATCTAGACGAGACGGTGGTGCTGGAGTCATCTTGGAAGGAATGAGTCCCCCTGGTAGAAGGAGACCCACTTCAAGTTACAGGAACGCCTTAAAGGTAGGAGTAAGCAGGGCATAGGCAAGGCATCAGCCACAGCGGGAAGGGCGTGTCCGGCAGCAGCCAAGCTTCACCTAGGACCAAGCTGGCTCCTTAGGAGGGCGCCAGTTAAAGAAGATAAGGCCAGGAGGGGCAAGGGTAACCTGGGGAAATAGAAGGGACCTAGGAACTCTGCAGGGTACCCCCCACACACACCCGCAACCCCAGCCAGAGATGGGCGGGGCCAGAGGCAGCAGGTGTCCAGGCACCTGGGGTGTGAGAAGGCTTACGGAGAGCAAGAGGCGCCTGTAGGGTATCCTTTTGGGGACTTGGGGATTCCGACCTTGTCCTTGAGCATTTAGAAGCCGGCAGATTGCGTTCTCCAGCCCGAGACCTCCCTGAGCCGTGGTGTGCAGGGCCTGTCACAGGGCCGAGGCTTCGGACGTTCACAGCATCTGCTGGCCGGACACAGGTCCCCCCAGCCCTCCCGCTGGGCACTCCCTCAGCGTGGCCCAGCCACTCTACCAGGCTCCGTGCCGACTCCCTCCCACGCCGCGGCCTCAACACGCTCTGTCCCCTCACACCGCCACCCCCCACGTGGCCTGCTCCCCGCTCCCGCCTCTCGAGGCTGTACCCCTCCCGGACCACGGTACCTGGGACTCTCAAAGCTGCACCCCCTGCGCCGCAGCGCCGCCCTCTTCTGCCGCAGGAGCGCAGCGGCGGCCCCGCCGGGCTCCGGCTCCATCGCCCGGGGCGGGGGCCGACGGCTCGGGCACACTCGGGTGGGCTCGGGCCTCGGAGGTATTCGGCCGGACGCTCAGCGAGCGCGCCGCAGCCCACGCCCCGCCCCGCACCCCTAGCCGGACCCCCAAGCCCCGCCCCTGTCCTGCCCCAAACTCCAGCCCAGCCCGGGACCTCAGGCCCCGCCCCAAACGCCTGCCTAACCACTCCCTCACACTCTCTGTGGGGTCTAGGACCCGCCCCTAACTAGCAGGTCCCCCTTACCACTCCACAGGCTTTAGGCTCCGCCCCTGCCTCGCTCCTACTCTAACTGGTCCCACACCACCACGCCTCTGGCCTGAGGCCCCGCCCCTACTCAGCTAGTCCCCAGCACTACCACGCCTCTGCCTTTAGGCCTCGCCTCTGCCCCGCCCCTATCCTAGCTGGTCCGCCTCCTCCGCACCTGCTTTTTTTTTCTTAATGATTTATTTTTGTCATGTACATTTGTGTTTTATCTGCACGTATGTCTGTGTGACGGTGTCAGGTGCCCTGGAACTGGAATTACAGACAGTTGTGAGCTGCCATGTGGGTGCTGAGACTTGAACTCGCGACCGAGCCCTGCCCCTACCCTAGCTGAGCCCGCCTCATTTCCCTGGAGCTAGACTCAGGCCCCGCCCTGAGGCCTTGGCCCCGCCCCTGCCTCGCCCCTAATCTAGCAGATCCTCTCACGACTCAGTTAGGTTTAGGCCCCGCCCCGCCCCAACCCAGCCCATCGCCTCAGTGGAGTTCAGGTCCCGCCTCTATCCTACCTTTGCCCCGCCCCAATCAGGCAAGTCCCCGCTCAGTTGCGTTCAGGCTCCGCCCATGCCCCGCCCCCAGTACCAATCCAGGAGGCTCCCTTACCTATTATTGGGCTCGGGTCCCACCCCAAGCCCCAATCTAGTCAGTCCCTTTGCCCTTCAGTTTTACCAAGACCCCACCCCATTTCCTAGCCCAACCCACCCCATGCCCTAGTCTGGGTACAGGCTCCGCCCCCAACCCGTTCTCCGAGTCCCTGGTCCTCCTTAGATCGGTGCAGACCCCACCCTGCCTCTGCCCTGCCTTCCAGCCACGCCCCTCCTGCGCCAGCCTCCGGGAGATCCTCCCCGTCTGTCCTCCAAGCTTCTGTGTAGCGCACCCCAGCCCCCAAGCCCACCGCTCCTCACCAGCCCCACAGACCCGGGCTCCGCTCACCTACCCCTCCGACACAGAGCGCCCTGGCGGCTGTCCACACCACAGCTCCGCCCGCTGGCTTCTCGACCCGACCCGCACCTCAGCGCCTCCTGGTCCTTTCTAGCGTAACACCGCCCTCTTCTGGGGGCCGTCCTCTCCACGTCCCGCCCACAGGCATGGCCCCCCGACCCTGGAGCTCCGCCTCTTCCCCCTTGAAGTGGGGGTCCGTTGTACTAGCTGCAATTCTGCGTCGCTAGAACCTTCGTACTCCTGCCCCAGAAGCCCTCTACTGCCCCGCCCACACCTCAAGCCCCGCCCACACATCGCCGCCTAGGAAGCCTCTTCCTCACTTCAGCTGGTGATGCGGGTCTTCCTGGCTGAACTGGCGGTCCACGATGAGGTTTGCACTATCTCAGGATCCAGCCAGCCAGCAGAAGGAGGCACTGCTGTCTCCTGGTGGCTGTTTGTGGTGTCTGACACAGTGAGGTGAGGGGGCTGAAGCTTTGGGGCTACCAGTTGTGGGTCCAGGTTCTCATTCATCACCAACTTTGTGACACCCTCCCCCATTTCCACCTGAGTCACAAACATCGTCTTAGGGTCCTTGAACACTGCACTGTGCTTGGAAGCAGGAACTCATTGAGTAAAAAACTAAGGATGGTTTTGCCATCTGTTTCTATTTAGGTTTCTGTTGATGTGATAAACACAATGACCAAAAGCAACTGAGGGAAGAAAGGGTTTATTCGGTTTACACGTTATAGTCCATCATCTGGGAAGCCAGAGCAGAAACTCAAGGCAGGAATGGAATCAGGAGCTATGAAGAACTACAGCTTCCTGGCTTGCTTCCCAGGCCCACCTGCCCAGGCATAGCAGCACCAATCCCCCAGACTTGTCCATAGGTTAGTCTGATAGAGAAAACTGCTCAGTAGAGAGTTCCTCTTTCCAGGTAGCTCAGGTCTGTGTTAAGTTATGCATCGGGCTCTTTCAGTGTGGTCATGAGGTTCTGGTCTCCCTTGATGCTGCACAAGCAGACTGGAAAGGGAATGGATGTGTGCCTAGAGAGCCGCCATGGGGATCCCCAGCCTAGTTCTCTAGTTCATTATTCATCGATTGACTGATCTGTGACACACACACACAGCGGCTTTCTCCTTGGTTCTTGCCACATGTTACTACTAGACGGCCTTATTCCCACATGTTACTAACTACTAGACATCCCTATTTCATACCTCGTCCTTTTCCTCTAGTCAAACTGGAGTGGGTTTGCTTTTTGCCTAGTGTCATGACTTACTCCCAACATATCTTTTCAGACTGAGAGTTCATGTTGCCTGGAATCCTCCCTCGGTAAGCTCAGGTTGCCTGCTTTCCCCCAGGTACATCCTGTCCTCTCTGTCTCGCTGAACTCCCGCCCCTGCATACAGCCTCCATGTCCTCTTAGGAGTCCCCAGACCCCTTGTCCTCCTCTCCGAGAGATCCACAGCACTGCCCCTGCTCCCTCTTCCTTCCACACATTTGCACGCTAGTTGCTCTCAGCTGAGCCTTGAGCAGTCTGCACCTCCTCCATGTCTGCACGTGACACTGGACTGCCTGCCAAAGGGGCTGTGTGGGACTCCAATAAATACAGCGATATTCATTGGAAAACACATTTAATTTCAAAGTAAACAAAGATGTCTGTACATTAAAGTATTTAATTAGTGAAACAATTATTATCAGTGTAACAAGCTGAAAAATACAGCAACTTGATACAAGACTGAGGTAACAAAATACTTCACCAAAAATCTAAAGAATCCCAAGGAGGGATGATGTTCAGTGGTTATTGCAGATGAGACAATTTGCAAATAGTAGAGAAAGTCCTTACACAACGGCATGCAGGGTCTGCTGGGAAAAGACAGCTTGGGAGGATGCAGCATATTTAACAAGAAACAAACTAAGATGGAGAAACTCATTTTCAGTTCACTTGGAAGAACACAGAAAGAAACTGAAAACTACTCTCTAAGCAACATTTAAATGCTAAGTGGGAAACCATGCATTTTGGCACGAAATTATCAAAGGTTATACCTCACTAATAAATGAATTGCTATTATTTAATTACTGAATGGTCATAGTCCTTCCAATAGGCAGAGGGTTTACGCCATGCCGCTGTGAGTGGGACTCTGGGACTGTCCGCAGGACGCATACTTGTGCAGCAGCAGGTTACAAGGTGGACTGAAGTCCAAGTCCAAGTTCTCAGCTCCCAGGGACACACAGCGCCCACTCATACTGTATTTGAACTTGACACTGAAGTTATAGACTAAAAGGAAGGAGCCTGTGAATACTGCGAGCATTCAGACCCTACTCTCTCGTTCTGCCTTTGGCGTTCTCCCTGTAACCATTATTGAACACAGCTCTGTATCTGGCTGCTCAGAGTCAGCCAGAATCTGGTGTGAGGGATGGAGCTTCAGCTAGTCCTCCATGCAACTGACTCTCACAGAAATCTCATGCAGTCTATTTGGGTCTTCTCAAGACTTTCTGCAAGAACCAATGCACAAGATTTGTATTCAGGGTAGCAGTGAGCAGGGCTTGCCGAAGTTGGTGTGTGAGGTGGAGATTATTTGTTCATTGACTCGTAAGATCTACTAAGGGCCAAAATTGGAGTTGTCTTGTTTCTAGCCATTTTCATTCTTGGTAGAGCCTGATGTACAGGAAGTATTCACTAGAGAGATGAATGTTTACACAATAAATACAATTTCAAAGGGACTTTGTGCTGTCTTTTCTCTTCTTTTTTTGTAACATGAAAGCACCCAATGTATCACTATGACATAGGGCCAACTTAAGGGTCACACAGAAGGGAGCCCGTGGCTTTGGCAATATTCAATAGAAGTTGCAAGCAGCCGCAATGCTGGTACAGAGCTGTGGAACCCACCAGAAGAATAAAGCAGCCTTGGTTTATAAATGGCTTCCCAGTTTTACATATCATTTTCTATCTAAAAAAAAATGGTATAAAAAAATCCACACTTTTCTTAGGCTTGGGAGGTGAGAACAAAATGGTGGAAGAAACACTGGCCATCTTGATAAGAAAGACAGAGAGATCCACTGGCAAGATAAGGTAAGTCCTTCACCAACAATTCTAGTGTGTCCACCTGCTCAGCATCTCACTCTGGCAAGCGCCCCATGGCATCTGGTCAGGGAAGGGGAGGGGAGGGGAGGGACCACACTCTCCCACTGGCATGTTTAGGACAAGGCTTATGCTGCTTTCCACCAAACCCAGGCTGCATGCACAAAGCTTTTTGCTCAGCTGCATGCACTCAGCTGACCTTGAGTTACAAGACTCATACACTGGAGAGGGACAGAAGTCACCCAATAGTGAGTGGGTGGGCTCTTCTTGGGACTTCACAATATTAGCAGTTGTCCATCCCAATTTCAGACATCATGCTACAGATTTCACTTTGGGGGCACCACAGTCTGTTTGCATGACAGTGCAAACCTCCAAATCTCACAGTATCTGTCTGCTAGAGAAGAGTCGAGCAAAGCAGAACTGCTTCCTTCCAGGCTAAGAGTCCACCAAAGGACTCCTGCCTCTGTCCCCTGAAGCCTGTAGGACAAGCCAGCACTGGGGATGCCAGCACTGAACTCATATGCTTGGTCTAGGGCCAAATCTTTTAACCCTATCTCCAGAGCTCTTTCACCACCTTCAAGGTTTTTTTTACTAACAAAGTCCAAGTGGCTTCTTCAAGAGTCCTTGGTGAGGATGCTTCTGGGAGAGGAGTCTGGTTTTAATTAGGGAGATTAGGTGATTTAAAAATAATTGTGATTGTGCTCTTTCAGATTAGGCCCCAAAGAAAACACGTGTGCTAGGTAAGTAAGACAGGTCTGTAAAGGGCAGAAAGTTCTGAGTGGAGACTGAAATTCTGGGGCTTTTGATGTCTGTTCTTTCATGTGTGAGAACCCAAAACAAGCTGAAGAGGGGACAAGCCTAACGGAAAATCATAGCTGATGTTCTGGTCTTACAGCTCTATCCAAACTTCTAACTTCAAAGGTTAAAGGGCAGGATCAGGGTGGCTGTGGGTTAAAGTATGACCATGGCATGGTTCTAGTCAAGAGATGTCTGCAGTGTTTGGCACTGCCATTCTTCTGGATTCTAACTGGAAGAGATGTTGGTACAATCTGGTGAACACACCTGAACCCCTGGCATAGGCAGATATGCAAGGCAGCTGTGGTCAAGTTTTGATGCCATTGACTTTATCACCTGGAGTCTCTCTGGCATGAAAATATCCAGGCTCTGCTCACAGGAAGCTTAGCTTCAGAAGACAGCAAGGCTTGACCAAAACATACCTCCACGGTAATGACAACTTCCTTACCAAGTCGTTAGCATTTTATAGAAGTATCACTGTTTGGTTGTAAAACAGTAGTGGGTTTTCTGGTGATGAGTTCACGGTTATGGTGTTGTTTGAAGCTTCTTGATTATTGTTGGAAGTTCTTTGGGGTGGTTTGATAACTGGTTACTGTGTAAAACCCTGATACCCACAGGAACCCAGAAATTCAGCCTTTTGCAGAGAATTGTTTTGAGGATTTTCTTCCCAGTGCAGGAGTGCCCAGATTCAAGGGGGAGGGGGAGGGGAAAGGGCGTCTGTAATGATAAAGAGCAGAATTAAAATGTGCGAATGAAAGCCACCTTACGTATGACAAGAGGTCAGAGAGATCCTTGTTCGTGGTGCAGACGCTGGAGATCTCACTCCCTAGGTCTTGGCTCTCTTGTCACCTGGCCATCAATAACTGAGTCCTTGGACTTGGAGAACATGCTGGTGACTACATTTAGGGGCAAGACTGAGGGGGCTTAAGGCCTCCATGTCACTCAGCTCCCTGTGATCAGGAATCAGTGTGGCTGCCCTGGCAGTGGTGGCAAAGGGGTGAGAAGACAGGAGCAGAATTCTGCCCTGTGGGAGAATATGGGGTGGAGTAGCTTCTACCCAACTGATCATTGATCACTGTGGGGGCCTCCAAGCTGCTGGGAGAAAAGGCCACAACTTCCCACGCCAGTATGGTGGGAGCGGGCGAGATGAGGAAGGCCATAGGTCCACTAGGAGAGCTCACGGTGGGGAACAAGCAGGCCAGTGCTCCAGTCCATGGTCCTGAGACTGACTCTGCCTCAGGAGAGCTGACAATGACAAGACCCAGGAGGGCCTGGGACCCAGGAACCAGGCCATCCAGATGAATAGCACCCATAGGAACAGAAAACAAGACACGATTTAAGGCATCGTTTGTTTACAGTAAAGGAATTCGAGGGACCCTTAACACAGAGCTTCTGGACTCCTTCCGACTCTTCTTACAGGATGAGGCTGGAACTAAAGCTTTAAGCAGGACCTCAAAGCCATTGTTAAGTGTGTGATGTCACAAGTCTTCTGCCAAAATGTATGTTTCTCAGAGAGTTCACACTCACTTGCTCACACACACGCATGTATGGCACACACACACAGAGGATGCTTTGGGGGTAAACAAAATCTGAGGCGGCCCTTGCGTGAGCAGCCCGTGCACTTGGGGTGTAACAAGCCTGTCCAGCAGCCTGTCTCTGCTCTCCAGCCCTCTCCGGGGTTAATGCCATCCACTCTGTGTGCAGAAGAAAGCACGGAGAACCCAACGTGGGTCAGATGCTCCCTTGATGCAGAAGCAGCTGGTGGACAGACGACGGCCCAGAGAGGGGGCATAGGGTGCGCAGTTTGGGGTCTGACAACCACCCTGTAGGGTGGGGCTGCAGGATGAGTCATGAGAGTCGCTGTGGGTTGACAGGTGGATCTCACACTGGGGAGCCATCCAGGACTGTGAGGCTACAGGCCATGTTCCTCGAGTCCAGCTATGAGGCTCCAGTGCCTTGGCCCACGGCTTATGCCCAGAGCTGCTCTTCTCCACCAGACCTAGTCCAGGCTCCCAGAAGCCTTTGGAGTCACGCCAAGTCCTGCAGATACTTATTCAAATGACATAAGGTTTGCAGGTACCTAAAAGAGAAAGCTCACTTGCTTGTCAAAATTTCAACCCCCAGAAAGGGGCAGGGGTTGTTCCTGCGGTTAGGGCCATGCAAGTGTGGGGAGGGAAGAACATGGCAATGGTAGCTGCCGCTGACCACTGACTGCCGTGTGCCAGACATTACTCTACTTCATATGCGGTTTCTTGAGACCCCCACACGACCTCTATTAGGCAGATGCTCAAACTGTCTCCATTATGTAGATGAGGAAACTGAGGCTTAGACAGGCTAAACATAAAGTGAGCCAAGAACCAGGGCTGGGGCCTGAACCCAAATTCCCCACGACCATGGGCCCTAATGAGGTACGGGGAATGCTGGGGGATGTCGTTAAGGGATGGAAGGGAGCGCACAGGAGGGGGAGAAAGTATGGAAGGTCATGAACCCCAATCCCTTCTTGCAGAGGCTACCAGCCCTGCTGTCATAGTATTTCCCTGCCCTCAGAGCTGCCTCCAGACCCCCAGCTTGAACTTCCTCCCTTGGCACTACTGGAATGTTCTAGGTTGATTGGACATGATTCCATAAAAAAAAAAAAAAAAAAAAAAAAAAAAAAAACTCGATGTCAGTTTTGTCAAAATGAGAAATCAGAAAAAGATGCACTTCTGTGCCAGGAGGCACTTCTGTACCGGGAGGAAGTTCCAAGAAAGTTCACAGCCTTAAACCTCACGGGAGCAAGAAACGGGGAACTGGTTCTGAGACAGCCGGCAGAACTGACAGAGAAAAGTGGTACAGCAGTGGCCTGCATTGCTCAACCTCCAGACTAGTGCAGAGGAGCAAATAGCAGGTCGGAACATACAGCCATGGCTCTGTCATTAAAGGAGTTTTTTAAAATTGTAAGGAGGGCTGGGGTGTAGCTCAGTGGTATAGCACTTGTATGCAGGTGAGCCCTGGAATTCCCACGGGAATAAAATACAGCAGGGACATAACATGCTAGGAGAAGAAAAAGGTTCTGGGGAGGAAATCCAGCGTTATGCCCCTGACTGCAGGGGGCAGGGAAGGTTTCAGGACCTGTGTGGGGGCTCTAGGTTTTGGCTGGGTGGGGGTATATGGATGTTTTTCTGCTGCTAATTTTGGCTGTTGTTTTATTTGGCTGTTTGTAGCTCAGGCTGGCCCTATGATCTTCCTGCCTCAGCCTCCTGAGTGTCACCACACCTAGCTCTACTATTGTTGTTTGTATCTTACACATGCATTATAAATCAGCCTAAATAGATTCAGTGTCAGAAAAAAAAACAATTTTAAGATGTGCAAATAGAAACCGTCTTCATGGCAGATTCCACGCGGAAGGCCGCACCTCTGCGACACTCTTTCTTGTGCACTGAGTTGTCTCTTGGGCACACAGGCACTGTTCTTTGTTGTCATGGTGTTTTGGTTTTTCAAGACAGTTTCTATGTATCACAGTTCTGTTGTCCTGGAACTGTGTAGACCAGGCTGGCCTTGAACTCACAAAGATCTGCTTGCCTCTGCCTCCCGAGTGCAGGGATCAAACGTGTGAGCCACCACATGAGTCACAGTGACTGATTTAAGTAAGCCTCTACCACTGAGTACTGAAGTTGTCTCCATGTTTTATACACCACAGAGTATGATCAAAGTGGATTGGAAATAAAAAGGAAACAAGGCATAAAAAGAAAATTCATTTTCTAGGTCTGAAAATTGGACACATACATGGCAGAACTTTGCCATGACATGCCATATTTGCCAGTGCATGAAATCCTGCCTATGAGTCTTTTGGACCACACGCTAGTCTGCCACATGGACTTGCTGTACTTTCTTGCAGCTGTTCCTCTCCTGAGCGCATCCTCACTCAGGCTCCCCTTGCTGCTCTGGCTGAGGCTGTCTCTCTCCCCAGCCAGGACCTCCCACGTGTGGCTGGTGAGCTTCAGTGTGCTGTGCTAGCTCAGGGGTAACAAAGGAGCATGGGGCTAATGAGGCCAACCTGAAAGACCCAGCTTTTCCTCCTGACAAACCTTGCTGTAGCAGCAACCTTGTTCAAGCTTCAGCCTTGTTCCCTTTGGTTGCCTTGAGATGGCAGTGGCCCAAGTCACAGATCCTCCCAAAACAGAGATGGGCAGCGATGCTGATTTAATACGTAGAATACAGTAAGTAAACTGGGCTGTGAGTGTAGCTCTGTGGCAAAGCAATTACCTAGAATGCTTGTGGCCCTGGGTTCAACCTCCAGCACTGAAAATGACTGTCTATTCATTTACCTCACAGACAAACGCATATATGCAAACACTCTAAAACTATAGAATTATACTCTCTTGTATATCATTGTAGAAGTTTTACATGAATATGCTCATATCCATACAGGAAATATTGACATAAATTTAAAAACAAATGAGATCATCATCCTTGCCTACGCCACGGCCATTTGGACCTCTCTAGACCCACTGCTATCTTGCTGATGGCTATCTGGTGTTGCTGAGGAATTCTGGCAGGCTAGAGGTCTCTGGTGTTTTGTTTTTCTCATGAATGGTGACACAGTGAGCATGCATGCTTTAACATAGAGTCTTTTGTTTTGTTTTGTTTTTGAGACAGGGTTTCTCTGGAGCCTTTGAACTAGCTCTGATAAACTAGGCTGACTTTGAACTCACAGAGATCCACCTGCCTCTGCCTCCTGAGTGCTGGGATTAAAGATGTGTGCCAACATACAGGGAGTATGTCCTACTGTCCTACAGCCCCACAGCCCCACAGCCCCACAGCCCCACAGGTGAATCCAAGTGTAGCTTACTTTAGGCCGCCTTGCAATTATCAGTGCTGCTCACATGGCATGCGGGAAGCAGGAAGTTCCAACCTACCCCCACTCTGTGCTGAGGCTGGAGGCTGCCATTCCTGCCACAGGCTGAGCCAGCAGGGGCCCTGCTCCTGGCTCTCTTACACAGTGACAGCGACTCTCAAAAAAAGAGGAAGTTGGAGAGCTCAGTTTGAAGCTACAAGGTCAGAGGTGGGAATCAGGTGACCCTGAGTTGGGTCCCAGCTCCACACTCATTAACTATGGGACCTCACTTTTGAGCCTCAGACTCCTTGGTGTACGATGGAGACAGTAAGAGGACCTGTGTTATAAGGACATGTAAGACTCTGACAATGGCTGCCTGTGGAACCTTCTGAGTGATGGCTGACAAGGAGAGGGGAAGGAGCGCAGAGGAAGAGGTTCTACCAGTCTTGCCTGGCAAACGGCTGGCCCTAAATGCCCTAATTGTTAGTAGTACACTCGCCAGGGTAGTGGACAGAGAGACCTATTAGTTATATTGGGGTATTCCAATGAAGTCAGCTCCGGGGAACAATCTAACTAGATGTTAGAGCTAAATCACTGGCTGGTGTCACACTTGCCCCGCACTGTCCCTGACTGGGTATGTCTGTGGCAGTTTCTGCACTTCAGGGTTTCTGGTGAGAAACAGGATCTGGGAGACGTTACCTGAGGCCTGTTGCTTTTACACGCATCATCCAAGTGCTTGTGCCACAGTATCGCATGAAACCGGGAGCCCGTCTGGAACTTGTAAACATTGCCTGATGGGGAAAGGAAGCCCTGGTTAAGGATGCGCAGGAGGGCTGGTAAGTAAGAAGAGCTGCCACAGTCCAGGGTGAGCAGGTATCTTTGGACAAGGTTTGAGCACTTCTCAAACCAATGTTTCCAAATGTATGAGGTACAAAGAAAATCACCGATAGCGAGTCTTTGCATGTCTCTGTACCCACATCTAGTACCCAGGGCTGGTAGCAGGTCTAATATCACGCAGGGATTTCAAGATGAACACCAATGAGGTTCTGAGATGCCTGCAACCATGCATGATATGGAAATGCCTCTCATTACTCCTGGGGACAAAACTCACAGTAGTTCTGAAAATCTGCCAACTCATGTTCATATTCATAGTGGAAGGAAGACACAATTATTTGTAACTGAAGACCAAGATATAATTTTTCATGTCCAGCTGATAGACCTATTTAATTCTATCAGTGGGCATTGCCCCTGGACCTCATGTCACCTTTCCCTTTGCCTGGAGGTACTGCTTTCATCTAAGACAGTGGCTCACAACCTGAGGGTCACAAGTCCTTTGGGGTCGCATAGCAGGCATCCTGTATATCAGATATTTACATTACAATTAATAACAATAGCAAAATTACAGTTAGGAAGTAGCAATGAAATACTTTTATGGCTGGGGTCACCACAACATGAGGAACCATATTAAAGGGTCTCAGCATGGAAGGTTGAGAACCACTGCTCTAGACTTAAACAAGAGTGGCCTGTGGTTCCCATGGCCACAAAGGCTCACAGTGGAGCTTGTGTGGATATAGCTGTCTTTCTTCCTGATGAAAAAAAATCACTAGCCCTGGCCAAGGCTGCTGGGGAAGACGCTCCAGTGCAACCTGAGTAAGGACACCTGTGTGAGTGGCAGACACGCACTAGTTTATCCCAGTTTAGAGCAGAGAACAGTCTACTGCCTCTACCTGCAGAGCTCCTTGAGGCAGCTGGGTGCCCATATTTCTCAGCTGCAAGCATGAGAACATGACACTTACAGTCCCCTGGTCTGTACTGCTATCACCCTTTCCAGGGAACTTGCTAGAAATGCATAGTCTTGGTCTCCACCCAGATCTACAGCCCCAAAATCTGAATCTCAATAGATCCCAGGAAGACCGGCCTGTGCTTGAACCCTGTACTCAAACGTTCCTGTCAGTTAGGTGTGAGCACGTACAAAGAGTCTGCTGTTACAGCAAGTTCACGTGCTGTGGCTGTTGGCTTTTTGTTTGGTAACTTGGGCTACCCAGGAAGCTGGCTGTAGACTGCTGGGCATGTTATTGAGGTCCCTGGGTAAGATGGCACCGGAACCTCTCCCTCCTCTTAGCAGGCAGGGCCAAGGAAGGATGGAACCCACAGGGACTGAGAGGGAAATGGGGAACATTGAGTTGGAGCTTTTGGAAGTTGCACAGGTTCTTCTGAGCTGCCCTTGGACCTGGACACTGTGCAGGCTCACAGTAAAGCTATGCCAGGGGTTCCTGAAAGCCAAGCCCCAGACTATTCTGGCCTCAAGGTTTTTCCTCATCTAGCATTGATTGCTATTTACCTAGACCCTTGGGGTCACAGATTGAGGAATGATAGACCTACTAAGTCAAAGGCTAGGCCACTCTTATGGCTCAATGGGAACATCAATCAGAACTAAAACAGCACCAAAGACTAGACTGGATGCCAGGCAAACTTAGGGTGAAGGGAAGATGGTGAACTCAGAGCTCCCAGAGCTCCATGGTGTGTGTATCTGGTCAGAGGGGGAAGAGAGGTGCTGGCTCAGTCTGCTGCCCACCTTTGTCAGGGTTATTCAGCTGGAAGATATCCGGGTGTTCAGGGTCATCGGGCAGCTGCACCATCCAGCCTATGATGGAGACCTTCTTTCCAGGTGTAGATTTATACTAGGAAAGAGCAACAAACAGCTGGGAGCTGGGCCCACACCCTGCCCTCAGCAAGGGAGACTAGTGTGGGCTAGACAAGTGTCCTGCCCACCCTAGCCCTTGCAGACACAGGGGTCACTCCACTAGAGGAAGTACAGCAAGGCAGTCTTTTCAGGGGACTTACGTGTTTTCTGTCTGTGCCCCGCAAGGACTTGGCTCCATAGTAGAGGAGGGTGGATCCTGAGAGTACGACCCAGTACCTGGTCCACGAGGACAGCTGCAGAAGTGTGGGGAGGGAGTGGTTTCAGGCTGCCTGATCATGATATGGTTATCCCCATTTATGCCAACCCAGCCCCCCCACTTTCTCTGGCTCCCTGCCATCACTCTGCGGTGCCATCTCTATCCAGCTCCAGGAGATCATTTCTCCCCTTTTACTCGTTCCTTTCTACACCTTGTGCCTCAGTACATAAATTCTATGTTTTAGGGGAGTTGGGCCCCGCAGTGTTTCAGGAAAGAAAGGCATACTAAGCTATGCCAAGTTGCCGACTAGAAATTGAATGCTTGCAATGGGTTTTTCTGGACAGACTGAGAGCTGAATTTTGAGGGCTTTCTGCTGGCTGGGCCAAGCTGGGACCTTCCCTGGAACGCTCCCATTCTGGGAGGAAAGGACTGTGCCTCCCGGGAGCAGGTCATCTGGCAGCAGGATATAGTCCTCTTCCTAGTGGGAGCAGCTGTGTCAGTCTTTCAGGCCTTAATTACACCACAGGATGCACAGCAACAGACACACATGCTCAAGTGAAAAAGCTCACGGCATTCACCCCTACTGTTTGTGAGGAACACGGAATTCTGGTCTCCTCCATTTCACTTGAAAATGCTAGTCCCTGGCCATGAGACTGCTTAGTGGATGACGGTGCTAATCTAACGATCTAAGTGTTATCCCTGGGACACAAGTGGTAGAAGTGTCAAACCAACTGGTGTGGTTTGCCCTATGATCCACTCTGTACGTGCGGGTGGGTATGGGATGGAGAGGGAGTAAGTCTATACCACGGGACTGACTTGGGGCCCCATGCCATAGGAGGCTTCGAGTGTAGCCAGAGCTGGGGTGGAAGCTCTCCACCTTATCCACCATCCAACTATCCAGCTGACAACTAGAGACAGACACTCTAGAGTGCCTGCAGGGGGCAGGTGACAGGGCCCTGGCATCTTCCCAGCAGGTGGTATCTCCAGACAACTCTGTGGCGGGACAGATGGGCAGAACAGATGCTGTGAGGAGAGGCAGCTTGAGGACGAGATTGCCACACAAGGAGCTGAAGCTCTGTCATGTGGGGTCATGGTGGCTGTGACATGAAGGCTGGTGGCGACCTGATGCAGATCCTGACACCTTGTCCCATGCACTTCCCACTCGTGCTAGTATGCTGTCAGGGAGTGAGGACTCTACACAGGAACACCACACAGCAACCAAGGAACTGCGAGTCATGCTGCCTCCTGGGGCTGTGCAATCCTCTTCCTTCTGAGTGTCCAGGCCTCACCTGCTCTCCAGACCACCACAGCTCTGGCACTCTGCCACCGATGGCCTCCAGGAGGAGATGAAGTTTCATCTTAAGTCACAGACAGAGAAACTGAGGCCGTTTTCCCCTCAGTGGTACAGTCAGGGATAGGAGTCTGGTTGGCAGATCTCTAGACCAGGCTACTCCCTGAGCCCACAATGCCTCTAGTAGGTGTATGTGTGACTTACTGCAGGTTTCCGGCCTTCCTTGAGCAGGGTTTTCCGTCTCAGAGGTCCCTCCATAGTGGGCACAGTGGCTGAGCTGCCCACAGTACAGGTGCAAGGGCTCGTGGGACTGAAGGGAGACTGTCAGTTAGATACGGCCCCAGAGCAGCTGATACCTGATACCCTCCTACCCACTATGTCTTCCAGGTGCCTCACTTGGGAGTCTTTGATGTCCACATAGTCATTCTCTCCAGGCTGGGTCAAAAAGCCATCTAAGAGCAGGGTGAACACCCACAGAGAATACCCACCAGGTTTCCATGCCCTGCCCTACCCTTTGCTTCTTCCTAGCTGCTCCCCACACTCATGCCTGTGAAGCCTGAGCTCTTGCAGTCCTGCTCCGGCAACCCCTCCCTCATGCGAGCAGGAGAATGCAAAAGTAGACGGGTACAATGGAAACGAGGGACAGGAGCCCCACACTGCCATCTGTCCTCTTTCCTCCTGGCTCTTCTTGCACCCTCTCCCTTGAGATCAAGTGCTGTCATAGGTGACAATATTCAAGTTCTGTCTTGTGCTCCAGACTTTTGTGCTGCTGTTTACTGGATGTCCACAGGCACCTGGCTCAAGCTGGTCACCAAGCCATGTTCTGCAACCTAGTAAGTCCCAAGGATGTAACCATGTCTGATTGTCCATCCTACCTCTCTACCAAGGCCACGACATCTTCCTTTGGATGATAGCCTAATCTGTCTCTGGTGCCTGCTTCCATTCCTGCCTCTTCCCATATACTCTTCATCCACACAGTTCTTATTCTCCACCAGGCCTCTCCCTGGGGCCTGCTGCTCCCGAGAGGCAGGTAAGGTCCTTGTCCCTACTGAATGTGGCTCTGCCCACCTCCCCAGCCTCGCCTGAAGCCCCTCTCCTCAGATGTTTCACAACGCAGTGGTTCTTGTTCTCACTGAGCCTCACAGCCTCAGTGTCTGACTGGGAGCTCTGGCCCTGTGAAGCCCCTCTCCAGTTATCTGGCTAATTCCTATCTTCCTGCAATATTATTTCCTCTACTGGTCCCTCCTCTCTCCCAGAGGGGCCCATACCTCTCTGGAGCAATGGGAGCACCAGGCAGACTTATGATCCACTTGGCACAGAGCCTTTCCCCCAGCAAACACTCCAAAGCTACCTGTCAAGTGAGGACATGAACAAATGTGTACCTGTAGACACAACTCCTAGTTCTGGGAGAATTCCGAACTGGAACCCGCCAGTTGGGCCCCAGCGTGGCGTAGAGACGTCCCCTGCTTCAGAGGAAAAGGGATGAATTTTAGTCACAGTCTGGAAAGACCAGCTGATCCTGAAGGAGGTAGGAGCAAAGACAGTAAGGTCAGCCCAGCCCCTCCCCTCTTCCTCCTTGGGTTCCTTGCCCCCACTGCAAGCATCACATCACACCAAGGAACCCTGTCCCACATCTCCATCTGGGGAAGCTCCTGGGTCTCACGGGACTAGTTAGTTCATAAGCATTTTGACTGTTTACCCTTCTTCCAGATTCTCCCATGTGAGTCTCTGAGCTGTTTAACAGAAATGCCATGTTGTTCACGGGGTTCATGTTTAAAGTATACACAGACATAGAATGGTGAGCAATCTTGCACATCTGGCCAGGCCACATAAAATAAAGCATTATATTCACCAGGCTGTTTCTGGATCATGTTGCTACACTTAAATCTCTGAACTGGCTCTTTGCTGACTCCCGTGTCCCTAAAACTGCCTCTGGAACTTGATGGCATTGAGGACTCTGGTTCTAGGGCCTCCCCATGGGCTTGGCCTAGCTTCACTCTCACCTGCTCCTGAACCAGGAACCTCTCTAGGGGTGTGTGTCACTTCCAGCTCCACCTCTTTGGTGGGGGAGCACACACTAGCTTATTCTATCCTTTCCTGACCCTGAGGCATACTCTGTCTCCACCTACAGCTTCTCTGCTGGATGGCCAGCCGATGACACAACTGTCTGTATAAAGTCCAAGTCTAGACTTATTGTTCAGATGTGCTCTGTTATCTGCAGCTATCCCTGGGCTGTTGCTTACTGCCAATAAACACCCTGACTGCAACCATGAATATCGTATCAGCTAAGAAGAAACTCCTGATGGCCATGTTGAGTCTACTGGACAGGGGTAGAAGTTCAGGGCTGGTCATTTATTTGGAGGCTCCAGGATCCTCCTGTTTATCCACCTCTGCTCTTTAAATGCTTGTTACCCCAAGTCCTCAAGGTACCCCAAGTCTTAGGATGGTCACAGGCTGATGCTGCTCTACTGTGTAGTGCTAACAAGAGAACTGGTACACCCAGCGTCCAGCCCAGTGACCATACTGTTCCCTTCTCTTCCAACCACAGCAGGTTGGCTACACATCCATACACCTCTTACCGAGATCCACGCATCTGCTGTATTTGCTGACAGGTAGAACATGTAGATGTCACCACCACTGACCGTTCCTGACACATGTCCAACCCCAGACCAGCAAGGGTAGCAGCAGGGTAGGGCCTAGCCCTTGTTGAACATCCCAGGCTGCTGTCTTCCCTGGCCAGCAACAGGAGCTGGCTCTGACCACAAAGGTTTCTGAAGTGCTGTCCTCTGGAGCTCTCTTTGTTGTTAGGACATGCCCTTCCTCCAATGGTCAGGACTCTGGCAGGAGCAGAAGCCCCTGTCCACCAGCCTCTTGAAGGTTGTCTCCCTGCTATACTAGGGTGGTAGGAAGGTAAGACTGTCTGAAGTTGCAAGTCACTCAGGAGAAGGGTGGGGAGCAGGAGCCCTTTCTTGACAGATGTTGGCAGAATGAACATCTGCCAGAGAGCAGCCTGCAATCCATTTCTTTCAAGTAGTCCAGTTTGGAGGCCCTTTGCAGAGGAGAGGGCCAGTGTGAGGGACAATGTATGCACAAAGACTCAAGCGCTGGGAGCTTATCTGCATCGGGCCCCTGTGCTCACGCTCACTGAGCTCGTCCAAGCACCATTATATTATCCTTCCCAGACGGAGAAACTGAACTTCAGCAATGAGGATCTACTTGTCCAAGGTACAGCACCATAAACAAACTGAATCCAGGTCCATTTGACTCTACAGCCAACCCCTCACTTGCCAGGAGACTCGACTTTTTATAACTGAGAGGCTGGGGCTGGTGTGGTGGGGACCACATTACATTTGTGTGTGCCTTGCTAGCACTCTACTCTCATAAGTTGCTGCTTTGAGCATCACAGCTTCCACATGTGCCCGTGTCCATGAGCTAAAGGGCCAAGAGGGTCTGAGGTCTGAAACTCTTCTCAATCCCCATGCTCTGCAGGGGGCTGCCCAGCACTTCAGAGTCACTGTCTTGACAGCTGCTTACCATGTGCCACCTACCTGCTTCCAAGAGCATCCACACAACCCTACAGAGGGGGTGCTGCCCTCAGAGCTAAAGATGAGAACACAGGCTTGAGGAGACACTGGCCTGCTGCTGGGATGGAAATGCAAGCGTTCACAGAGAAGGCCTGCTGCTGCCATGGGATGAAGGGCCACTGTCTCACAGGGTGGATACCACAGCCTATCCCTGGAAACATGTGGCAAGCCCAGGTGAGGAAGGGCAGCACAATGGTGGCCTTTCGCACCTCTTAGGAGACGAGAGCCAGGGCAGTATCTACCCTTCTCTCCCTGTGATCTGGGAGCGGGGGCTTGGAGTAGCCAGGTTCATCCAGCACAGGAGCCAGACAGCCTGCCCCTCCCCCCCCCCGCCACTGCCCTAAAATGACACAAAATGCAGAATGAAAGGACAATAACATCTAAGGAGGCCTAGAAATCCTAGGCTCTCTCCTGGGATCCCAACTCCAGAGTCACAGACATCTTTCCTAGGATCATTCTGGGAACATGTAGCTGAACACACTTTCAGGATGGCTCTGAGGTACACCAGACCAGAGGCTCATGGGAAGTTTGCTCTAGGGAAGATGTAGGCAAGCAACCAGACAGACAAGCTTATCCAACAGGGTTCATAAGACAACGGCGAGGACAACAGTGATGGTGATTAAATGAGATGGCAATAAGGAGGTGGTGGAGAGGACGGTGGTAGTGAAGATGGGATGGTGGGTGCCAGGCAATGCACTCAGCAGTATTCTTCACGGTCTCGTTTAACCTACTAGGTAGGCACTGTTCCTAGCCTGCCTCGTGCATAAGAGACTTGCAGATGGGGACTCACTTGCCCAAGGCCACAACACTAGAAAAGGAAGCCAGGTGGAAGCAGCCTGTACAGCCGATGAGCACCTAGGCTGGCATCAGGTTGTGGGCATCTCAAAGTTGGAATTCATAAGGCAGCTGCCCATACAGAAGACGGGGGAACAAGAGACATCTTAGCTGACAACTGTATCTAGGCCCTAGGAATCTTGGTCCTAGCGGAAGTCATCCCCCACATCACTTTCCTGTCTCAAATACACAGTGCCCCACTGTGATTTGTGGAAAAGCCCTCAGGGTGCTGTGCAGCACAGCACTTACTGCTCTGGCCAGCCCTAGAGGAACTGTTAGTCCCATTGGTCACTCTCATCTGAGGGTAGGAAATGCCAGCCTAACTCCTGATGAACCCTGGGATAGCCCTTCTTGCAACCCCATTTGAAGACCCTCTGCTCTCCTAGTGCACATGCCCTTTTTTTTGGGGGGGGGGGTAATGTCCTGGAGTCACTAAATGAGTTCCTAGGAACCATACTGTAAAACACCGCATGTTTCATTCCTGGCCACTGGGACTTAGGTCAGGCTGGAAATCTGGCCCAGTGGTTGGGAAAAGCTACCCACTTGGGCCTAGCCACTGTACGGCATCCAGGACGTCCAGAAGTCTGGTCTGCAGTGGGAACAATAAGCACCACAGACATGTAGCAGGAAGGACAGGAAAACAGACAAGGTAGGCTTTTCCATTTCTAGTCACTGGCTCTGAACGAGTCAGAGATGGAGAAGCTGTGGGTTCTCCATGAGGCAGCTGCTGACTGACAGGACCCAGCCTTAACTGCAAAGGCCAAGGACAGGGTCAAGTTCCACATCCAGGCATCTTTGCCAGTTCTTTTCCAGAGGAGTCTGCCAGGAGCCTCACTCATCTCTAAGGGAGTGAGGCAAGACACAGTGTCTTCAGAGAAGCAAACCAGCCAACTGGGCAGAGAAGCCCAATCCAGGCACACAGGCAAAGTTAGAATTCAGGGGTCCCTAGTGAGGGATGAGAGCCCGGGAACCTGGACCTTGAGTTCTGTCACTCACACACATGGGGCACCGCAGAGGCAACCCCTAGTTCCAGAGCTGGTCTATTTCTCTACCAATACTGCAAAGCTTGGGGCTCAGGAGATCTTGGCACACCCGGGGCATCTCCTCATGTCCTCTGACTCTAAGGAAGGACATGCGCATGTATATCTATAAACTGTTCTGGGGGTGGCAGATGTAACATTCTGTTACCACTATGTCTCCATCTGCTGGCTGCTCGTGTAAGGATGGTGGGGGAGTCCACTAGCTAAGATCAACAGGAAACATCACCCAGGGGAGGCTGCACCAATTATCTTCCTTGGTACCTACAATCACCCACAAGCCAACTACCTTCAGAGAACCCTCCCCAGGCCAGTGCCCCGAGAAGCCAGTCCATACAGACTCCATGAATGGCCACTTGAGGAGTGTCTTCCCATTTGAGCTCTTGCCTCTGTAGCTTTCTTGCTAGACAGGAGTGCTCACTAGGGTGCTCACACATCTACACCAACTCCTCCAGCAACAGCTCTACACATATGCTAAGCAGTGAGTCCCCAGCAGAGGGACTGAAACTAAAGCAGTGGTGCCAAGGGAGCCGACAGCGTAAATGGCCCTGACATTTCCTGGTCTCGAGAGCTCACCTTTCCTATACAAGATCCCCAAAAACCCTGAACACTCGTGTGCACCTTTCCCGCCCCAGGTCATGACTTAGAACTAACTCTGCATCCTCACAAAGGCTCACCAGGTCCTCTTCAGCAAACTCTCTCAGGTCTGAACCTGCAGCTGATGCAGGTTACCCCACTGCACAACCACTGTGCTAGAACCATGTGTATAGGGTGTGGCTTCCTTAAGGCTCCATGAACCCTGATGAATCCTGTGTACCCACCCACTGCAGGGATGGAAGACAACCCTATGAGGGGGAAGAGGGAGGGAGAGGGAGAGGGAGGGAAAGAGCACGAGCTGCACTGCCCTTTCCTCTCTTCTACCCTCTCCCATTTAAGGGGCTCAATCCCTTGAGGGCCCCCCCTCCCACATGGCAATGTCCAGCTGGGAAGAAGGGTTGGGGAGGATTTGTGATGAACACTGACACACTTGCATATTGCACTTATTCAGAAAGTCAGTGATCATTTCTGATGACATCTTCTTTAGGAATGTTAAATGCTGGTTTGGAGTAGAAAAGACAGACCAATACATTGTGAAGTTTGGAGACTACGAGGGTGGCAACCCTCACAAATCCTGCAATGCAGAGATAACCAAGATGAAGGACCCTGCGTGTTTTCATACTTCTGTCTCTATTCACCTCTATAACCCATTTCATTTGTCTTTAAAAACCATTTGAAAAAAAGACTTTGATCCTTAAGCTGATATTTCTGTTTTCATCTGAGAGCCCAAACTTGCCTTCCAACGGTAAGTATAAAAGTGGCCCTTTGACCAAGCCCCGAGGCCAGCTGGCCTCCAGAGCCCAAGGCTGTCAGGTCTCTGGAGCCTGAGGTGGTCTGGAACCCAGCCTAGTGCCAGCCTCCAACACTACTCTCCAGTCCATTTAGCACTGTTGATTCAGATTGCGGGGCTCCCTTTCTTCCTCATTGAGGTGGCATGCCAGTGAGGCTTTCCTTCCACCTTTGCCCCCGCAGGTAAGAGCTGCTGCTGAAGTCACAGAAAAGTAGGCACACCCCCACTCCACTCTGTGATGAGACTACTTCATTCTCACTTTGGGCCTTGAGGATGGGGAGGAGGCCTTAGCCTGAAAGCTAAGGAAGATCAATGAACCTCCCTGGCACGGCTGCCCATCTCTAGCCATGAGGCCTTTGAACTTGCCAAGGGCTGGCATGAATGTGGGGCGGGAAGGGGAATAAGAGAAGTGAGTCCCCTCGGCTCCCTGCATTTTCATTCTAGTATACAGCAAGAACAGGGCTGTTGCCTCTGTAGCAGTTCATGGTTCTCTGGGTACTCCTGTGTCTACTTCAGGGACACACTGGAATCATGTGGCCTGGGCTCTGGCTCATTTCAAGAACTACCTCTGGACCCCATGTGTGTAAACTCACAAGATGGGGCTAAATGACCCCACTGCTGGCAATGAAAACTCTACTGCCCCACTGCTCACTGGGACATTAAGGGTGACTCAGTTGTGCCCTCAGGCCACCAGAGCCGTGTGTGTGTGTGTGTGTGTGTGTGTGTGTGTGTGTGTGCGCGCGCGCGCGCGCGCGCGTGCGCGGTCATGCTGCTCAGCAGTCTCTCTGCCTTTTACGTTGTTGGTATCTGGCTCCGTTTCCCTCCCCGGCCTGGGCAGAATTCAGAAAATCCACAACCAGTGCTTGGGGGGTTCTATGTGATAAGGGGCTAGTCAGTCTGACTATGTCCCCTGAACTCGAGTGCTGTGGGCAGAACACAGCTGCCCCATACTAGCATGCCCTCCCCATCCTCGAACTTTTATTCCTTTGAGTGAGCCCAGCCTCCTTCCACACCTTTGCCCTCCATCTTCCACCTTTGCTCTTGCAGGTTCAATACATCTTACAGTATCTCTGAGGACCTGGAAGGGAGGCTCTTTCTGGCAGATGCTGGCCTCTGGGACCAGTCACGGGGACACCTAGAATCCATCTCCCTATTAAGAGCAGGAACATATAGTCTGGAAAAGACCTGGGAGTGCACAGAGGACCCAGTGGTGCTGAGCATTTGGCTTCCTGAAGGTTAAGATGAAGGAGATCCACGAAGTGACCAGATGGTGACTGTACTGTGAAGAGAGAATGGTGCTCTACTGTGCCCAGTCTACAGAAAAGCCCAGACCGCTGGCACGTCATTGGGGAGCAGATTCTTAAAAACAGGCACAAGGGCTGATACAGGGTGGAAGCAGACATATAGCTGGGACACTGGCTGAGGCTGGAATCAGTTAGCTTCCAGTTCTTCAGGACTGCCTAGGATTGGGTCCTGATGAGAGGGGACATCATAGCCCCACTGGCATCTTCTAAAGCAAGTGGCCTACCCTGCTCTCCTCAGCCAAGATCCCTTCTGTGATGAGGAGTTCAAGGGCTGCTGAAGGCATGGCTGTTCAAAGGCTATTGGAAGCTGGGTTGGGCATATGCACAGAAGAGCCAGAAGGAGGCCAGTGCTCAGAGGAGAGTCCACTTGAGAGCATCTGCTACGGACATTCAGGTGAACAGTGACCTAGACTGCAGTGGTCAAGACTGCATATAACACCATTTCCACTAGGAAAAGAATGTTCCCTGCCGCCCTCTTTCTCCCGGCCCCACTCCAGTCAGCACTCACAGGGCCCACGGGTCCATGTGGCTATCATGTAGGCAGCAGTGCTAACTAAGCAGGGACTGAGTGACTGATGAGTGAAGGAAAGAATGAATGAGCGAAAGGACAAACAACAGAGGTACACGCAGGGCCAGGTGTGCTACTACAGATCTTAGCGCCATGCCTAAGAATGCTACTGGATGGTGGCCAGGGGAGGAGCTGGTTGCTTATGGCCTTCTTTTTCAGGATGTCCCCAGGAATCCCCACTAGGACCAGAGTTCTGGAGTCTGTCCCTTAGGGCTATGGAAGAGCACCAAGGCTGAGGGACACCTATACATGGGTAGTGTCCAGAGAGAGCCTAGCACATAGAATGCTCAGCCTGGGCCACCACTGAGCCTCTCTGTCCTGTGGAAAATGTCCAGATAGGATGATTTCTTCTGGACACTTTTCAACGATAGGAACTGAAGCTTTAGCTTCAGAGGAGTGTGTACATGCAGAGGTGCATGTGTGTGTATGTGTGCTTTGTGTGGTGTAATGTATCCTTCATGCATGTGAATGCATACACCCATGAGTATATGAGTGAATTGTGAATGTGTCCACCTGTGTGCATGTGTGAGATTTGTGTTTAGTGTGTGTACACAGAAGTTTGACAGTATAATTGTGTAACTGAGTATGTGCAATGAGTTTAAGTACATATACATGTGTGAGTATAACTATGTGGGTATACAAATAAATGTGTGAATGTGTGTGTGAGAGAGTCTGTGCATATATACATATAAGACTGTAACTATGGCCACGTCTATACAAAGACTGTGTAACTTTGTGTACACGTGTACTTGCAAGAGTACACAGACACACACTGGCTCCTAGGCATGAGTGGAGATCTATCCTGAAGGACAATGGAAACCTGTATCTTGGGGATGGTCTTCATCACTGGATTTCCCTATGTGTCCTCAGACCTCAAGTCACTAAGATGCCTTTCACCACCTGAAGTGACATGTCTTCTTGGATCCCTGATGGTAGCCCAAGAAGTATTAGGACATGGAGTACATACATGTGGGTGAATTCCTGATGGGAGGATAGATACCTGGGGTAGATGGGCTGACAGGAATCACAATGATACATAGAAGGAGGGTTCAAAAATGTCCAAGGCCTGAGGCTGCACTGGTGTAATACTCTCAGATATCACCAGATGGAGCCACATACCCATCTTAAGACTTCAAGCAGGTCTTGGGCTTCCAGGTCCATAACTCATACTGCAGGCCTAGGGGCTCCCAGGTCCCCTGGAGATGGCTTGGACCAAGTGCTCTGGGTGCCAGCTGACAAAAAGAAGGGAGGGGGCAGGAGGGGTACTTTCTAAACCTGGGTATACGCCCACATATGAAGAAGTATAGGAGTGAATTATCAGTGTGTCTACCTGTGTGCCTGTGAGAGTTTTGTTCAGTGTGTGCACAAACAGGTGTGACAGTGTAATTGCGCATATGAAAAATGTGGATGGGGCAGAGACCCCTGACTCCAGCTCCCTGGGCCCTGAGTCTCCCAAAGGAGGGAGGCCTTGCTGAGGCCACACTCACCTTTCCAGCCCTGCAGGCATCTCTTCACTAAACTCTGAGCTCTCACTACTGCCTGGAAAAGGAACACAGATCAGTGAGCATGGCAGCCTCGAGGAGAGGGGCCTGTTCTCCTGGGCTCCTGGTCACTAGGCCCCAGTCCCCAAGCTCATGGCATTCTAACCCTGTGGGTCACAGAAGGACTTGAGTTTCTGTGGTTGTGGCTGTCTTTTCTCTGGGAGGGTTTGAAGAACTTTTGAGCTCCACCATGCTCAGGAGTGTCTTCTGCTCTCTTCCCACTGCCTACCCTCTGGTTTGTGGTACCAGGATATCCTACAGCAAGGATCCTCGGGTGTGTCTGCCCTACTGCCTACCTGCTGCTTAAGGGCCTCACCTGCTGAGGGCACAGGCTGAGTGAGCTCTTCTGGCTCAGGGTCAGGGCTGGTCTAGATGTAGCTGCCTGCACAGAAGAGACCCCAAGGAGCCACTGCAGCCCCTGGACCACAGAGACACTGCCAAGGCCTGTTGTGATCCTCTGCCTTCCTAGTTTCTTCCAGGCCCACACTCTGGAGATGACCATGGTCTGGTGGGCCTGACTGGGGCACCCTGGCTCTCTAAGCCTGTACCCTGGAGTTAAATGAGCACCCTGCTTCCCTCCAGGGTTGTGTATCTGTGAGCCCAACCTTTGTATTGTTCTGGACTTTGCAGGCTCTAAAGTTCAGGGCTCTGCCAGAAAGAGCTCTAAGACTGAGCAGTCAGAAAGGCAAGGGAGGAGCCCTGGCTGGAGCAGAGCCCCCATTCAGTGCTGTACGGGTGGGGAGCAGCCCAGCACTACCTCCATCAGGACACACACAAATGTCTTGAGCTCCCTGACTTGAGCCAGAGCCAATCAAGCTTATGACCCCCCCCCCCCAGATGTGTGACAGCACAGCCCCTGACTCACTCGTGGGTCAACAGCCCAGACTCAGGCACAGCTCAGAGTTTCTTGGATGTCGAGCAGCAGCTCAGGGCACAGGTGTGCACTCGTGGGCCCTCATAAGAACCCATGTCCCATCATATACTCTGAGACAATGTCCGTGGGTGGGACATAGCATGCTGGAGGTACCAGTGCCCAGGAGCAGCACAGCGAAGGCTTGGGGAAGAAGTCTGATTCCCTTTCCACAGCCTGGGAGCCTAAGATGCACTGTCCACACTTCCAGCACTGTGTCTAAACAGGGTGACCTCCTCTGAAGGCAGAAGGCGGATTTGGGACTTGTCACAAACTTCTAGGAGGCAGTTGTCCTTGACAGAAGTTATTCATGACTCCCAAGACCAGCCTAACATCACAGGGACATGTGGTATGACACGCCAACCTGGTGTTCCTCCAAGTCCCTGGCCCTTTGCCTCACTGTCTTTATCAGATCAACTGCAGCTGGACAAATGTCATACCACTACCAGCCCTGGGGGAACTCACTGATATTGGAAGCAGACAAACATATAGGCTCACTGAAAGGCAAAGGCCATCAATGGTGCACTGGGCTGGTGACAGCAATCACATTTGTCATTTGTCTTAGGTGATTTGAGCTCTGTAATGGAATAGTTCTCTGAATGTAGCTTCATGCTAGCCCCAGTCCTAATGTTGTCATCTCTCTGCTGGCATCAGCAGCCCTGTTTTTGTAACTCCATGGACACAAGCTCCTTCCTGCCACTGTCCAGTACTGCAGTGCCATCTCTGACGTTCACATCCTCATCCTCCCTTCTGGCTCCTCTGGGTAAAGACAAACACATAGTAGGAAGCAGTGGCCCACCCACCTACTGCTCTGAGCAGGGCTTTAGGCTCCCCTGATTAAATGCTGCCAAGGTAGCATCTGGCCTCAGGGGGTTGTGGTGGACTCAAGTCCAGCTTCCTTCTTTAACCTGACTGTCCATTTGGGGACCATCAGAAGGAGAAGGTCAACCCAGAATTCTTTCCTGCAGCAGGAGACTCCTGTAGGGAGCCATTCTTTAGGGGTGAGGGGCCACTGGGCACAGCACAGTGACACAGAGACAGACACGGAGCACATACTGGGTCTGCTGCCCCTGCCTGTGTGTACAGGCCAGAGACGCTTACCTAGGGAGAGTCCGTTGGTGATGGCGGTGGAGGAGGTGAGGGTGAGGCCCCTGCGGGGGCTGCGGGACTCTAGGACGCTGTCGTCCAGCAGGTGCCTGGCCTTCTCCGATGGGAATGTTGCACTCTTACTTTCAACTACACTCAACTGACACATCATACTGGAAAACGGAGAGGGAGAGAGAAGGCAAAGCTCCTTATCCTGGGAGCAGAGTGGCACACTGGCCCTGGGGGCCGGAGCCAGGGACTAGCTGGTGGAGACACCTCTGCCCAGAGCCCACTGGTGGCCCAGGCTCTGCCCCTTTGCATGGTGTGACCTTGGGCAAGTCACATCTTTTTCCTGAGCCTCAACTTCTTTATCTGTCAATAGAGACTAAGGCTGTTTGCCCTGCCTGTCTCCCAGGATGATGGTGAGGCTTGTGAGATGAGGCCAAAGTGAAGGGCAGGCGCCGGGGCATCCTGAGAGTATCAGCGCTTTGTGACCTTACTGGAGCCACAATGTACATGGCGGCAGCAGCAGCTCAGAGATGTGCATGGTTCAGTGAGATGGTGTCTACAGGTGTGTGGCAATGTCTAGAAAAGAGGAGGTACCAGGGACCCAAAGCAACTTTGGCCTCCTGCTCCTGCCTCTGAGGTCCACTAAGGCCAGCCAAGAAGCATGACATTTGTGCTTTAGTGCTAGGATGCAGGCTGAAGGGAGGGAGGGAAGGAAGGGAAGAGGCAGAGGTGATGGAGAAAGGGTGCACCATTTGGAAACTGTGACCAATGCCCAGGGAGTGGGCCCCACAGGGCCAATGAGTCAGCAGGTACTCTGAGACACCCCGTTGCCCTGAGCACAGGCACTGGTGTCTGCTGGACTCAGTTCCCCCTAAATGAGCTATTGACCGAGTTTGGGCACATTTCTTCACTAGCTACAGAGCCTGGATCTCTGATGGAGGCACACAGACTCTGCTGCCAGCCGCTCATCTGCATTCCCAAGCTCACACCAGCCTCAAGAGAGTGTCTGCCAGGAAAGCAAGAGTTCCCAGATGGGGTGGGGAAGGACCCAACACTCCTTCAGCCCAGAGAGGGTTGCTCAGTCACCCACTTGTTGCCCAGGCTGTGGCTCTTCCTGTGTCTGGGGACTGGTGGTGTGGGGAGGCTGCCAGCCACAGATGTATCAGGACAGGTGGGCCTCCGGCGGAACCTGGCTGAGCTGGAGCCAGCAGAGGGGCCTATGAAAAGAGCAGAGGGAGAATGATGGCAGGGGTTATGGGGGCGAGAGTAGGGTAGAGGCTCAGGGGAATTGTGGTTCGGGGTGGGGACCTTTCCCAGCTGTCTTGGGTAGGACAAAGATCACACGAAGCCAACAGCAGCTTCCTTCTTATTGGATGCTTAACCTTTCGTCCCAGCATCACTAACTCCCAGAGGGAAGGCCTGGGATGCACAGGTCTAGTAGCTGGGCAGCCAGCTGATGGCCCATCCATAAGAGTAGAACCAGAGGCCTGTCCTTAAAGAGAAGGTCCTACCTGGACTTCACAAGTCCAGAGGGCTATAGAAGGGGTATGGAAGGCTGGCTGGAACTGCATCTACACCTGTGTCTACACGCATGTCCCTGGTCAGGACTTGCACACTCTCATTGGCTGCTCTGAGGTTCGTCTGCATGTCCAACACAGGATATAACACATCTGGCCTGATGAGTGGTCCCCGGGAAGCTTGGGTGGCCCTGCAGTGTCCTGGGGAGGACCCTCTGGTCTACCCCTGAGGACACAGCTCCTGCAGTGCACTGCTTTGTTTTGCTTTTGCCCCAAGAGAAGATTACAGAGGGCGGAGCCCCTTGTTTAATCAGCAACCATGGGAGGATGGCAGATGACAACCTCACAGCTTAAATGTCAAGGACCCTCTGCAGGAGGCCCAGGTGATCAATTAGGTCATTTGCACATCTGGCACCGTGCCCTGGGTCGAGTAGCAAGTCTTGAGGTATGTACTCTTAGTTGCTGCGTTAGACAGAAAAGAAGGCAAGCATATAGATTCCGAGGCAGTACCCAGTGTGCAGCGGGTTTGTGGGGTTGTGGGAGGAATGCTGGGGATTCAGAGTCCAGGTGCTAGGCGGATGTTCTTGAAAAAGGAAAGGGAGACAGACCCAGCATCACCTATGTACCAGTTGTGAGCAGTACTGTACAAACACTCATGCCTCCAGCATACTGGATACAGGAAGGTGAGGAACCCTAAAGGTGTAACATGGTCACAGGGCCGAAGTCGGCCACTGCCAGCATTTGTCACTCACTTGGCTCCATGTAGCTCTTGCCTTCTAGCTCTGTTCATGCTCATGCTCTAGCAAGCCTTTCAGAATTCCTTTGGCAGTTTCCACTCAACTCCAGATTCTCTCTCCAAGGCTAGGCCTGGATTCGACCCTTTCCTTCCCGCTGTGGAGCCCTGGGAGGCATTCCTGGCCTAAGATGCCCCTGGACTGGCTGGGGAGGGTGGGCGGGGGCCCCAGAGGAAGAGCCTTGGCCTCTTGGCCTGTGTCAGGGCTGCTGCTGCTCTCTGGGCAATAGGTCTCATCCTCCTCCTCCCCCACATTCTCCCAGCATTGTTGATCAACAGCCTAGGTCTGACGCGGAAACAGAAGAATTTCCATTCGGCTGGGACCCAGATGAGGGGCCTTTCTGCCAATAAGTGACACCCTCTGCTACCAAAAGGCCTCATGCTTCTGCTCCTCCAAATCTGGGGTGGCCCCCATGTGGCAGTGCCAGGACACGTGCCTTCTGAGCTGGGTGGCTGGCAAGCTTGTTGGTCAAGTCCTCAGGCAGGGCAGGAGTGGTGATGAGTCGGAGCTCTGGACTCCATGGCAGAGCGCAGGCCCCACTGCCCAGCCTGATATGGCAGGGACAGCTGGAAAACCTGACCATGTGGTTTGACTATCTCAAAGGATTGCTCTACTTTTCCTCAGCATAAGTTTTCCATGAATAATCTTTAAAACTCTTTAAGTGGCTGTTTCTTTAGCAGTTTTATTGGATCATATGAGAATTGACAGGTTCTGTAGGCAACCAGATATGTTAAAAAAAAATTCTGGTTGTCATTACAAGAAACCAACATACTGCCCAACAGATCATTGATTGAAAGAGGAAAAACAAAGCAAAACACACCAGCTTTCTAATAATAGTCTTGGAGTGGCCAGAATCCCAGATGATGTATGGTGACAGAAAGGGACACTGATCCTGCGGGCAGGGAGGTCCGGGCTCTCATCTGTGTCTGTGCTTACAAGCTGAGTGCCCTGAGTCCTGGATCTACATCTGTAAACAAGGGATGAGGAGCCTGTCCTTTGCTGTCTCCCTGTCAAGAGCTAAACAGTGTCTTTCGGCCACAAATGTTTAGGAAGCCCAGACATTGGGGCTGCCCCTGGCCAAGCACTGGAGCTACATCATAGATCAGAAAAATCATGATCTTCTGCTTGATTGGGAGTAGCAGTCAACCGTCAAGAAGGGAAGGGGCCACCAGGAGGCTGCACCAGGTGGGAACACAGGCTGATAGGAGGATAGTCATGATCAGAATGGCGAGAACACCAAGTCCACCAACGGCATGACAGCATCAAAAAGTGGATACGATGATCTCTAACACCGACCTGGCACCTGCTAACCACCAGAACTAATGATATACACTTTGTCCACTTGGCCCTATTTAAGCATCACAGTAGCACAGAACTTTGGGGAACATAAGGGAGGGATCAGAGAAGACTTCTGGAAGCTTTGACACCCTGCCTGGTACAAGAGCCTGTCTGACCAAGGCAGAAGGAACAGCATGTACAAAGCCCAGAGGGAAAGGCAGCAGGGCCCCAGCAGAGCCTTGAGCTCACAAGAGGTCTGGTGATGTGCTCAGACTCGAGTCTTACCTCTGGCTGGAGAGTAACTAGATGTGGCTAAGCCTGGAAGCTGCAGGTTTTGAGGCAGAGATATGCATAAGAAGTGTCCCAGGGATAGCCAGGCAGAGATGTGGAGGGAACTGAGAGCAACCCTCTGTATGGAGTAGTGTGCACTTGGGGCACAGATCTAGGGGGACATGAAGAAGTCCAGTATGGGGCCAATGTCTGGAGGCCACTGGTCAGATGGACAAAGTGGTTAGTGCTACAAGCAGAGCACATTGTGGGCAAAGGAACCTCTTCTCGTGGATTTCTGGCCAGGCCCTGTTCTGGGCCAACACTGTCCCATTCCAGTTGGGCTTTCCAAGTCTCACACATTGGAAAATAATGGGAGGCAGCTGTGGCAGAGAGGAAAGTAGCAACTTGAAGTCACAAGACTTGGGTTCCAGTCCTGCCTCTAGCCCCAGCTGGACGGGCTTATGCCATCTCCTCTGAGGCACGGCAACTGTGCCATCGGGAGCTCTGGCCAGTGCAACTCTGAGCCTCCAGTGGCCAGGATAGGCTGTCACCCAACCAAAGGTTCAGAGTCCTCTGCTTCCTACCTGTTTACAAGGTACTTCTGTGTCTGCCAGAGCCCTGCAGCTCTTGGGTCACTGGCCCCTCTGCAGGCTTTGCGTGGAAACTTTTCTATAGCCAGGTCTCTGGCTGGGCCTGGGAGCCACACATTTCTATGTTCACACACATTCTGCTTTTCACACACACAGTTCTCATGGGTCTCACTGAGAGCCAAGATCTGTCTCTGCGCAGAAGGTTCAGCTCACTTCCTTCTGAGAAACAGTGTTCGTCATCTCTGGGCTGAAGTGGCACTGTCCTCTCTTGCAGCCAGAGGGTGAAGACTCACAGGCCAGAGTAGGAACCAAGGATTCTTGGAAGCTGCTGGCACTCAAAGTGCTTGGGTAACTGCAGAGCTATGGAGCTGGGCAGATTGGGCTTGAATCTTTGCTACCTACTTCTAGCCCTTGAGCTCTCTGAGGATCCCACCCACCCTGAGCATAAGAGAAGTTTGCAGAGGAAGGGCATTAGAGATAGAAGCCTGCAGCCTCTCTCTTACTCAAGCATTTCAAGAGAGCTGAAAGATGTCTTTCACAGTGGGGTCCAGGGGACTGAGAGCTGGCATCTTACTCAACCCTGAGGGTATGAAGTAGACCACGAACAGAGGGCAGTGGTGGCCACAGGATAGTGAGCTGCACACTCACATGCAGAGGATGAGGGCTACCCTGGCCTCCTGTAGATGAGATGGCTTTAGCAAGAAGACCATATATGGTATGAGGGCACGAGCAGATGCCAGCAGGAAGTTGCTGGTGGGAAGATGGCTCTGAGGGGACTTCAACATCCAGGAGTGATGGAGGAGGGTCATTTGTTTATGTGTTACTTTCATTGGTTAATAAAGAAACTGCCTTGGCCTTTAATAGGACAGAAAATTAGGTAGGCGGAGTAAACAGAACAGAATGCTGGGAGAAAGAAGCCGAGTCAGGCAGTCGCCATGCTTCTCCGACCCCAGACGAATGTAGGGTAGAATCCTTCCTGGTAAGCTACCACCTTGTGGTGCTACACCAATTATTAGAAATGGGTTAATCAAGATGTGAGAATTAGCCAATAAGAGGCTAGAACTAATGGGCCAGGCAGTGTTTAAAAGAATACAGTTTCCATGTAATTATTTCGGGTAAAGCTAGCTGTGCAGGCAGCCAGGTGGCAGGACGCAGCCCTGCCGCCCCATACTACACAGGAGTATATGTTTATCTGCCAAGGCTGAGAACACATGGACTCTTAAGAACACCCATGGAAGTGTCCTGGGGAAACGACAGGTTTAGAACTGCCCTTTGGAAGGTGCTGTGCCCCTTGGAGACAGCAGTGGCACTGATACAAATGGGGCTGTGGTTAGCAAGTTGAGGGAATCAGTGAGGGAGAAGGCCACACTGCAGCTCTCTTGCCACAGGTAGCCAGGCTCAAGCAGCCCTACTGGATGAGGCAAGGGGACTGAACACAAGATAATGACTAGGGCTCTGATTCCGACAAACTCAACGCAGCTGTAAGAAACGGTGTGGTGACACATACCTGCAGTCCCAGGACTCAGGAGGTAGAGAAGGATCAAGTGTCCAAGGCCATCCTAGGCTGCATATTGAGTTTGAAGCCAGCCTGGGATAATGATATGCATTTCTCTTTTTTAAAAAAATCTATAAGAAAGACAGAGACATGCAGGTCTATAATCCCCTGAACAAGTGAGTACACAGGATAAGAGGGAGAGAGCCCTTATTGTACCCTTCCTGCTCTGTGTGTTGGATACAGGTGATAGACCTGTCCTGACCCCCAACCCATCATCTGGGTCTGCCACTTCTGTGATGTTTGACCCTGGGCGAGTATCTTGGTATCTTTGCCTATAGAATGGGAGTGGGCTAAGAGTAGCCCAGAGGACTTGCCAGGCACACTCAGTGAGCATGTGGACAGGCTGGGGAAGGTGCTCAGTCCAGGTCAGCACCAGGTGGTGAGGACGATGAGATAGAGGTTCCCCATGTGATCTGTCTGGAGTGCTCTACACAGTCCTTGGCTGCTGCAGTGAATGGCAGGATCTTTCTTCTTGGACCTGAACCAGTCTCTGTGACCGTCAGTCGAAGGCTGAGGTGAAGCTGCCTAGCTTTGGGGACTCATGGAGATGTTACTCCACAGTTTTCTAGCTGCCTTCCCCATTTCAGCTCTGAGGACAACCAGTTGCCAAGCAGGAATCTGATGACCCTGAGCCTGCTGTACTCCAGGGAAGCTCTGGTCACATGAAGAGGCTCCAGCTCTGATCAGTGGGTTCCACTGATGCTGCCCAGCTCCAGCTAGCAGCAGGTACCAGCTGTGTGAGTCTCAATCCCTCTACGAGGTTCCAGTCCTACCCTGTGCACCCTGATGTTGACACACAGAATGTAGGTGAGACATTAAGTGCTATTTTCTACCCTGAGTTCTGAGGTGGCACTGGAGCTGAGACTAGATATCGGTCCTTTGGTCCCCAATCTGGTGCTCAGGTGATAGCCTCACACTGTCTCTCCTTTAGATGGCATCAGAGCCTGCCCGAGAGGCCCAGGAGTTAACATTCCCGAGAGGCACTGTGCTAGTAGAAGAACTTCTGGCATGGCCTCAGGGAACTCCCTCTACAGCCCTGAGATGTGAATCAGCCTGAAGCCTTCCTGCTCCCACAACTCAGAGATGCTGCAGCCAGGTTCTATGTAGGTCTGCACAGAGACAGAAAGGTATGCAGGAGATCAGCCTTTTGGTTGAGAGAGCAGAGACAGAGGCCAGGGCCAGGATTTTCCTGGATTCAAGCTCTTCAGAGAAAATCTGTCCCCAGTGTGGAAGCTTGAAATGTCTGGAACTGTCTTCACTAGCTTCAAGACAGACACAAACACCACTTGCCTTCTGGGAGTGGGGTGGCAGCACTATGGGCATTACATGTGATGTTTTCCTCCAGGAAAACATAAGTTCACTGTATAAATAGCACCACATGGAGAGGGGAACTGGAAATGCGGCACCCCTGACTTTTTTTTTCTCCATAGATCAGAAACTGAGTCAATTTCCTCCACTTCCTTGCTTATAGTCTCCTTGTGGAGACAGACTGCCACATGGCCATTCCCCCTAAGGAAAGTGGGGGTAGCCCTTGGCAGCTTCTGGGACCACTGGAGGCCAAGGGAACATTTGTAGCTCAGAGGCTGCTACTGCTGTTAATCAAGGCTCCTGAGGTCATGGCTGCTGCTATCTGATCTGTGCAGGGTCAAGGTCTCCCAGTCCTGGCAAGAGCTGGTTAGAAAAGAGTCATAGAGAGAGAAAGCCCCTCACATACACACACCATCTTGGTCTGCTCACACTGGCTTCTTTTTGGCTCCAAACAGGCCTGTCCTTGCCTTTTTCCCCAACTAAGACATGAATTCCAGGAGGCTGGGTCCCCCCTGTCAGGTAACAGGTTCATAGCAAGTGCTTGTGACACACAGACCTGCAGCATAAGTGCCTTGTGTAAATGCAGGTGCACACCTAAAGGCTGTTCCTTGCCAAGTGTGAGGATGTCTAACTGCTGGGCACAGCTCTGAGCTGGAGCCTGGCCCCTCCTGAGGAGGAGGGGGAGGCCACGTTCCTCCCATTCTTGGATCTGCACGAGGCACATTCCTGTCCCTGAGTCCTGTGGAGTTCCTGCCACGCAGTTCAGTCTAATTGCCAGAGCCCAGAAAGCTTCCCTGGAGCTGACCTTGCCCTGGAGGAACCCTTGGGATTCGATGACCTAAGCTGCAGCAGCACTCCTTATCTTCCTCTGAGGCTTCCTCTAAGGAGGGGAAACCTGAGCCACTGAGTGGCTATGAGCTTTCTAGAAAGCCACTGGATCTCTGGTGATCAACACGAACCCTGACATCCTGTTTTGGGGCTGAAGCCAGGGATTTGGAAGGTTGGTGGAAAAACACTCGTCTGAGTCGAGTTCTCCCCACAGTGCAGGAGCTGCTGGTCTCAGCACTTCTCTGGAAGGTTCTGCAGAGTCAGCAGCCAGCCCATGCTGGAGCTGCCCTCAAGGACAGGTACCCATAGAGCCCAAGAAGGAACTCTAGGGCTAAGGCTGAATAGAAGGCAGCACAGATTCACCTGGAGGTCTGCAGGCCAGGCTCTAGGAATTCCACCCCAGACCTGTCTCTCGGAGGGTTTTTACTCTGCTGGAGAAGACAGGCACAGGGCAAATGCGTTCAGAGACGACTGCAGGTGAGGACACGCTGGCTACCTGCCACACAAGGATGTGATATAGGACCTACAAAGTCCTGAGAGGGGCCAGGCAGGAAGCAAACTCATGAATGCAATATGTCACACTACACAGAGACAAGGTGGGTCAGCTGGGGGTCCAGAGCTTGCTGTCCATCACCACCACCACCAGGAGACCAGGCCTGATTGGGGTCTTGGGCAGGGTCATTTAGCTAAAGCCTGCAGTTAGCTAAAGCCTACTTCAGCGATGGAATCACACTGACAACCGTGGTATCATGGCAAAGCTGCCCGTGATGAGAAAGCTATGGGCCAGATCCTGCATGTTTTGTAGCAGTCCTGTGAGTGACATGTGTACTGCACCCATTTTACAGGTGGCGTGGGCAGTGCTGAACATCTCAGAGAGCAGTTTGCTTGGGGGAGAGTTCTAGAACAGGAATAGATTGGAAAGGAGAAACTTGCCCAGCACCATAGCTCTCTGGACCACTCCTGACAAGGGCCATCTGACAGGGAAAGACAGTAGGTTTTTGAGGAGACAGCAGGAGGGGCACTTAAAACAGGGTCCCGGGAGATGCCGTGAGAAATAAACTGTATACAGCACTAACTTAGCAGTCCCCATAGTTCCAAGGCTCATGAGCAGGGAAGCCCAGAGGTGCAAGGAAGAGTCTAACTTACCACCCAGAGACAGCAGAGGCTGGCACAGATAAGGAGCAAGGAGCGTGTCGTAGAAATGGGACAGAGACGCTTCAGGGTTTCCTGAGAGTTCTGTGGGTCTAGTCTGACCAATACACATCCCAGCTGGGAGTCTGGAGAGGCTGACTTGAGCAGCACAAGGAGGGGAATGGAGTGACAGCAGGCAGTAGTTTCCCACCACTTCCCAAACACTCACTGCAGAGGGATAGATGCAGACTATGTGGGCATCTGATCTCAGTGCCTCCTTGTTGGGATGGTGGATTCATTATCTCTGTTTTACATACAGGGAAAACACAGCCCAGACTGATACAGTTATTTGGCTACAGTGCAGCAGCTCAGAAGCCAGGCTGTGGTGACAGAAGGGTGACAGAGAGCTGTAACCAGAATGATGTGCTGCTGGAGGCCTCTCTAGCCTCTCCAAGACAACAGTGCTGCTCAGCCTCCATCTCTGAGAGCTGGCTGGACTGAAGGGCAGCAGTCATGACAGTAACAACAAAGTAGCTAACACCAAGCATACTCTGACACGTGTGGGCAGAGCACGAGTCAGGCCTGTGGTCACCCAGGCATCATGGCAATCCTACAAGGGTAATAAGAATCTTCACTCCATCCCGTAGATAAGGTTACGGAGGAGAAAGATGGAGAGACAAAGCTAGAGCCTGGCTCTGACAGCAGATCCTAGGATCCCACTGCTGGTGACACAGTGTGTGCGTCCCTCAGAGGTGATAAATCTAATGAGTCTGACTCATCTTGGGTGCACCCTTTGGGGGGCAGGCTGGTGGTCAAGGGTGTAGGTGGTTCTGTACTTAGTGCATGCTTCTAAGTTGAGGATCTGATCTCTTGAGGTCCTACATTATCAGGATTCTGGCAGATGGTGGAGGGGGCTATAAGCAGGGACAGTTGAGCCTGACAAGCAATGAACTCAACTGTGTTCTTGAGCTCCACACAGGGCCTATTTTGGCAGCCATGTCTGGGTTGTATGTGGTTTTGTACTATTCAAGGTAGCTACAATACCTGCAAGATCTTCCTTGGAAGAGACTAGTCTTGGAGAGCTGCTTCCTGGTTCGATTCTGAGTGACAGCCTGAAACCAAAGATTTTCACAGGTCAGAGGAGCCCAGGTCTATCATGGGATGGGGGAGGGAATGAAGGCTTTGTTAAAGAGTACACGGGTCACAGAATACAGGAATACTGTGAGAACTGATTCAGGTCACAACCCTTCCATCTATCACCTCTCCAGGGTTTCTGGGTCCAGTATGATGGTTAAAGACGACTGGTCCCTGCTTGTTTACCCACAACTCTGTAACGGAAGCACATTTTAGAGCCTGAGAAAAAGAGGAGAAAGAGGCTGTGCAGCTTCTACAGCCAAACTCATGACACTAGTGAGTGCAGGCAGGGATACTATGATGGGATGCAGGTTCCACAGGACCAGACTGTCAACCTGAGAGCTATCCTTTAGCCCTGGGAGATGAAGAGAAGCTCTTGCTTTCTTAGGTGATCCTGGACCTCCTAGGCAGTAGAAGAAGAACCAGCCTCTCTGCATATGTGGAAGGAGAGTCAGATGTCTTTCTGAGGAGCATCCAGGGAAGAGTTTCTCAAATGGTAGCGAGACAGTGGTCCAGCAACACTACAGATCTTGTCACCTCACGGAAGGGAAATGAAAAGGAGAGAGTGACCCCAAGGTCAACCCAGGAGGTAGCCCTTGAGCAGAGGAGCGACTTGTAAGAACATGAGCTCAGTTCAACAAAACCTGAACATCAAGGTGATGAGACAAAGGAATTAAATGAGATGGGAGACTCGGGACAGCAGAACACATCGAAGATGAAACCAGACAGGGCTGGCTGCACACCTTCCTCTAAGCAGATTGCCTGGGGACTGCTGGTGACTGAGGTGCCCATCACAGCTATTGGGAAGCAGCTCAAGGAGGAGACAGGCAGAGAACATCCAACACAGGAGCCCTGGCAGGTGGAAGCCAAGAACGGATGTGGAAGCAGTTGCAGGCATAACCACTGGGGGCTGGCCTGCAGCTGGGAAGGCACCCAAGGGACCTGGAGGTCAGGGAGCATGCTCCTCTGAGGATTTCTATTACTGAGCTCCTGAATTTCATGGACTTCTTTATCCACCAGGCAAAGCAAGGGGGAAGAAAAAAAAAACCCAGGCAGGTTTGAGACTGTCAGCAGCAGCACCCAGCGTCAGGAGACAACCATGTCCTCCGGTCTACAGACCAGGGGAAAAGCAGAGGGGGACCCAGGAGGCCAAGCTCAGATTAATCAGTTCTCCAAGAGAAGGGAGGCCCCAGATCCCGATGAACCCTGCTAAGTAAGGGACTGATTTAAAATAAAGGCCCAGGGGATGAGGAGCAACAGGTCACAAGAACCAAAGTCCATTAAAAACACAGAACAGCAGGAATTTTGATTCCCGAGCATGGTTTTCGTAGTATGCACTTGGAGTGTGGGATCCATGCATAGCACAACTAACAAAATCCTGCAAGTGCAGCCTAGGTTGGGACAGGGCCAGCAGTGTCCTCTTTATAACCTGAGGCAACCGACAGTCACAGTAATGACCTGGTCATGGGAAACACCCAGACTCAGGCCTCTTCATAGATTTCCTGTCATTCATGAGTCTTATATAAGATGATTAAGAAATATATTTTTATTCTAACTATTAATTATGTGTGTATATGAGTCTTTGTGTGGTAATATGTACATGTGTGCAGGTGCCCATGGAGGCCAGGAGAGGGTGCTCAATCTTCTGCAGCTCGAGTTACAGGTAGTTCTGAGCTGCCAGATGTGAGTGCTAGGAAGTGAACTCCCCTGCTGGAGGAGTAAGCAAGACCATGAACCACTGAGCCATCTGGCAGACCCAGGAAATAATACATTGTAGTATTACAGTGAATAAACATTAACTTAAAGAGTGATGGTTCCTTACCTTTTATTTCTGTTTCCTTTTTATCTGGTTGAATTAAAAGAAATTTAAGATTTTTAATCAAATAGCAAGAATAATATGATCCAGTCTGAGTAAATTATGCCCTTGCATCCATTCACCTACCCACCCCTTTCTATATGTAAATAAAGTTTACATGCATAGCCAAGTGTTCAAAGTGCTGCTTACTTCATGCTAGTGGCCATGTTTCCTAAGTGGTGAGAACTTGGGGCACTTTTCTTAAATTGATAACAGACTAACAGATGAGAAAGAAAACACTGGTTGGGCCGTTTGGTAGAGTCTCTCTCTCAAGGCAGATGATGACAAGGTATTAGAAGTACAAGGTCACCAATGTCCTAAGTTCTTGTATCCTTGGCAGTGAGGAGCCACCTCCAGGTGTGAGCTGGCCACAGGACTCAGCACTCCAGCAGAATCACAGGCCCTGCCCACCATAACTTGTTCAGAAACAGGATATACTTGGAAAGGGGGCCTGGGCAGGAAGGCAGCCCTCCTCTCTGGGCTTGCCCAGTTTGGTTCAACAAAGAGCTTTTAGGAGCCCCGGGCTGACTGTTACTTAGCGGAGGGCTGGGGGCGGGGGCAGTGCTCTACTCAGAATGGAAGGAGTAATTACTCATAATCTGCAGCTTGTCCAAGGATTGTCTCATGTTCACAAGTATTTATAGGCCATTTTTCTCCTTAAAGCATATTAGTGTTAATGAAAAACTACTGTCTCTTTAATGGCAAGACTGGTACATGAATGGAAAACATTATACCAGAACTTAAGTGGGAATAGTTTCACACTCCAGGCCACTCTTCAGGAACAGCAAGCACTTTGTAAATAAAATGAACCCCTTTGTAATAGATGCCTTTTTAGTGGTGACCTCTGGCCCTCTTCTGAGCCTCCCATTACTCTGCGCTAGATCACACCTTTGCACACTCCTTCACTGTGATGAATGATGGGAGAGCAACAGCGAGGATGATGAGGGCCTCAAGCGGAGTGCGAGAGCAGGCCAATCTCCAGGCCCCACCCTGTGACCTGAGTCACAGTCAGCGCTCTGAACCACTGCTGCTGCACTGGACAGGTGGGGTGTCCCAACAACGGCTCTGGATCATTGTCACAGACCAAGATGATGCAAGAGCAGGCTTTCAGACATAAAACTGCAAGGGATTAGTCGGCAATAGATAGCAGGGTCAGAGAAACAGTGTACAGAAGCAGTCCGTGAGATGAGACGTCAAAGAAGTTTTGTGAGGGTGATACTTGGGTAACGAATGATCATTCACAAGATGGCTAAGACTTTCCTTGATGTCAGGTTATATGAGAAAGCACTGAGTCAAGAGTATGTTCGGCCCAAATGGGCAGTTAGAGTTGACCGAAGAATAAAGCCCTCTTCTGCCTTCAGATACTGAGCGTGCACACCCAGGGGCTACCATGGAAGGAAGAACTGCAAACTGGAACAGGGTAAATGGAAGATGAGCTGAAGGGCCTTTGGGGCCTTTCTGAGAAATACATCTGTTCACAGAGGCACAGAGATTGTGCTGGGGCCCTTGGCTAGAGCCAAATGGAAAGCCCTGCAGAGCTGAGAGACACAGAGACTGGCTGTTTCATCCATCTGTGAAACAGGACCTTAGAGAACACTGTCCTGAGAATATGGCCAGCTGACCTTCTACCCAGTGCCAAGAGTCCCTGTGAGAGCTGAAGTGTCAACCTTGCCCCACGCATGGCTGGAGTTCACGGGTGTTTCCCAGGCCACATGGGAAGGTGAGCACACCATCTTCCTGGATTGTGCGGCCTGAGGGGCTGGGGCAAAAGCAGGTATTGAGGGCTGTTCTGGTGGGGCATGGAAGCCCTGCAGGTCACTCCTGACCCTTCAGGTATTGAGGGCTGTTCTGGTGGGGCACGGAAGCCCTGCAGGTCACTCCTGACCTTCCAGCAGTGGCAAGTGGGCCTGGCTAGGGAGACAGACTTACTTGTAGTTATCATCCTCCACAAACTTCTGGAGCTCCTCAATGTAGCGTACAGACTTCAGGTACTTCTGCACGTGTGGTAGGGTAGTGAGGTGATCTGTGGAAGTGGGCACAAAACTCAGAGGCTTGACTCTTTCCCCCAGCCCAGAGAATGCCGACACAGACACACCTGACTTCTTGAGGCTGCTTCACTGTCCTTGGGGCAGGTCCTGGAGGAGTGGTCAGGTTTGGGTTCTGCCCTATGGAAAGTGACCTCAAGCATTTGGCTGAGGGAGAGAAGCTAAGGCTGGGGCAAGCTGGAGCCCTGGTCCCCAGAACAGAGCAGGATCACATGTCTGTGCCTCCAGCACATTTCCAGTGATGATGCTGCACAGTCTCCTGTGTGCCATGAATGCAAGGCCACCCTAGCCAGTGCAGAAGTCCAATCCAGATGGCGTGCTCTCTGCACTAGGTGACGGACAGCAGACATCTATCTTGTGTAGGAAAAGGGCTTGTCCATCATATGATGGAGAGACAGCAGCAATATGCAAAAGTCCTATCACCAAGAGGTGGCCAGGCCAGGTTCTACTGCAGACTCTGAGGCCTGAGCCACACTGACACCTCTGTCACTCCCCTCAGACCTGCACTGTCACTGCATTCCTCCTGAGAAGGGGGCAGACACGAAAGAAGGGAGGCTGGGGAGAGGGAAACGTCTTGAAGAGCAGCAGGGGCCATGACCTTCAGGCTCCGAGTCTTGAGGCTCTGAAGGTCATTTCTGCTTCTCTAAGTCACCGGTGGTGTCATCATGTCTGAATGAGGACAATGACATCTGCTCTCCAAGCTGGTGGCAGCTGGCATAAATCTAGAGCACAGTGACAAGAATATACCTGCTCTGGGTTCTGGAAAATTCTGGCAGAGGGCCAGGAACCGTGTGTGGCCCTATTGTCACACGAGCAATGAAGAGGAGGAAGTGACTTTTCAGGATGCAGCCTGAGACTTGCTCCCTGGTGTGTACTCTGAGGTCTGAGTCTGCAGCTGCTCTGCTCGTCAGCAGGCAATGCTGGGGCGTCTGAAGGCTCTAGGACACACAGGCCCCAGAGGAGAGCTGGCCTACACTGCAGACCCTGTCGTGCCTGCGATGACACGGCCTGTTGGTCCTCCCAAGCAGAGGCGGTCAGCTGTCACCCACCCTGTGTACGACAGGTAGGGCTGGCTTTTCTCACACCCCTCTGGGGCACCCAGGCTTTTACTCCTTTATCCTGTTGTGAACACTGGCAGAAGAGGCCCGTTTCCAGCTCTGCTCTCCATTCTCCCCATCACTGCTGACTCCCTGCCTGGATCACTGTTCCTTCTCACAAACGACTGGGGCACCTGACTCACATTTAGGCGCCACACCAAGTGTCCAGGCAGACGAGCCATTCGGCATTCTAACTTCTCAGGGACAGGAAGTCTCCAGTAAGCCTGTGTACTCCTGGCATCAGGCATCATGCTCACCGTTTGCATTTGGAGCCTGGCCAGTTGCTTACCAAATCACTGCCCCATTCCATTCAGGCCCACAGTTAGATAACATGGCCTGGCCTCCCTTTGTAAGACTGGTCAACAAACTACCCTTGGCAGCTTCTTTCTTGTCTCTGCTACCCTAGTGCAGAGCCTATGGGAGGACTCAGATGGAAGGGCCACAAATGGAAGGAATATGGTCCCAAATTTGCTCGAAGAAGAGTTATCTGGGAGCTTCCTACTAGGCTTTTCAAGGATAAATGACCCAGAGCCAGCCACACCTGGGCCATGCCTCTCACTGAATGTGTAAACAGCTCCCTGTGTAGGAAATGACAGAGGTATCTAATTTGCAGGATCTGTGGAGATGCATAAAAGGCCAAGCCCATGTCTAAAGCTCAAGACAGTACCACAGGGACCTCTGTGGGGATAACCCAACTTCTGGAGCTTTCTTGTGGCAAAAGCGCCGGATCCAGATCAACAAGGCAAGCTCTCACAGTCCTAGTGGTGAGATACTAACCATAGCTGCAGGACACTTGCAAGTCAGCAATGATCCGGAGGATGTTGTTCATCTGGTTGGATCTTTGTTCGTTTTCCATGATGCTGCCAGAGGCAGGGTATGCAGAATCAATGTAGATCAAATCCAGAAGGTAGATTCCTAGGATTAAAGGACACACTGAGTTATGGTAGGGTGTTGCAGGAGGTCCTTCCGCTCCTCCAACCAATAGACACTGAGATACCAGCCCATTGGGGCATGGTCTCTCTCCCTTTAAAAAAGCGGCCACTTCCCTCTCCTCTCTCTCTTACTTCCTGCTCCGCTTCTGGTGACTAGACTCCCTTCCTGATTGTGCAGAGGGCTGTTGTCTGGGACGGTGATCTGAAAGTTTTTTCCCCTTTAAATAAATAACCATTCTATTCATCGTAATTCCAAACTGGTGTGGGATTGTGACTTATGAATTCGCCTTCAGTAGGGTGCATCACAAACCCTGGGGGTTAAACAGTCCCCCCTGCAAGAAGTTAGAAAGAACAACTTGTGGAGACTGAACATACTAGTTGGACTTGAATTCTAATTCTGATGAACTCATTTTTCATGCTCAACTATATGTTAAACATTTGAGCAACAACCAAAATGGATGCTGGCAGATTGTTGCATGTCTAATTTGCATAGCTGTCAACAACAAGGTTTTGTACCTATAATCCAAATGGAAAGTAACAGGTGGCTATGCCTCTTTGTCATTAATACCTAACTCTATGCTCCCATGCCCAGGAGAACAACTTTTGTGGTTTTTAATTATTTAGATATTTGTCTAACTTCTCCCCCCCACACACATATAATTATGAATTAGTGGAGGGAAAGACGTTAAGAATGAGATATTTCTCTTTACAAAAAAAAAAAACAATGGTAGACAGCGATGTCTTCTGAGATATTAACAGGAAATAAGATGAAGAGCAAGGACTCCAGTGGGCTAATGATGAGCTGAGGGTAGGCTCCAAGACAATCCCCCTGAGTAAAAGGTGGAAAGCAGGGGCTGGCTCTGTGGGCTGAGCCTCTCCACAATTCTCAGCTGACTTGACACAGAGTCAGCTGATTATCTGGAAACATGAAAGAAAACTGGATGGCGTGTCCTTCCAGGAGTGCCCCAAGAGCACTGACAATACTATACCCACCATACACGAGGGACTAGGCAGGAGTGGCAATGCAAAGCAGAACTGGAGACGGCAAAGAGAAACAAATGACATGGATGGAAACATACTTGATGGAGAAGGTTCCGTGACTCCAAAATTTCTATGCATGAAACAAAACCACCTTTAAGCACATAAAGCAAGAAACTACCAGGGACAAAAAGTGAATTTGAAAAATGGTACAGAGAAACCCTGTCTCAAAAAACAGCTACAGTCATCTGGGGGTGCTACAACCATAACTAGGAAGCCTTGGCTTGCCTCTTCTGCATGTATGAATACGCATGTGCATACATATAAAGACGTATATATCCAGGTGTGCGTAGATAACGCCGTAACAAACCCAGCAAGTTTAGCGTAACAAACCCAGCAAGTTTAGGTTTACTGTGCATATGCATATGTGGAGGATATGTTTTCCTATGAGCACGCATGTGGTGGCCACAGTGTGATATCAGGGTGTCCTCTGTCCCTCTACACCCTATGATTTGAGACAGGTCTTGCACTGAATCTGGAGCTTGCCATTTTGCACACTGCCACACCAGGTTTGGTTGGGTTCTGTTGTTGTTCACATGGGTGCTCAAAGTTCCAGACTCAGGCCATCGTGCTTTACCCAGGCAAGCTCTTCACTCACGAAGCCATTTATTTCCACAGTCTCTGTGAGGTTTTTCTTCCATAACTAAAAATACAATTCTTTTTAGGTACAGAACACAGACATTGATTTACACGGTATAGAGAAAGGCCAGTGAGTTCCAAAAACTCAATGCCATGGTCCCCGCATTCTTTGACTTTACTGTGCTCCATCTAGGAGTGAAGTACAGAAAAAATTCCAACCACTGGAAGTGCACACACACAAGAAAATTCTAGGTTAAAAATAGATCTAAAGTTTAAAAAAAAAATCTGTCTGCATAGCTTTAACATAAACAGTACTTGTATGAAATACAGTGCTCGCCAAAGCTTTCCACTTGAATTGGTCACCTCCAGGCACGTATCTGATGTCCTCCGTGCCCATAACCCAGGATTTCAAGGCTCTCCCCTTGCTTTCAACATTTCTGGGGCTGGAGATGGATAAGAGTGTGCACTGCTCTTGCAGAGGATCCAAGTTTGGCACCCAGCACCTATGACAGGTAGGTCACGACTGACTGCCTGTAACTCCAGGGGATTCAACACCTCTGGTTTCTGTGGGAGCCTCCACACATGCACATGCCCCAACATGTGCACACATACATCTAATTTAAAATAACAAAATAAATATTTGAAAAAAGTGTAAGATTTCTACATTTAATGACTTTAAATGTAGTAAATCCTAAAGGGACCTTCATAATCAAAAAATGACGTTAGCTTTATAAAATTCAAGGTAACTGTATCAAAATGTTTTTACACTAAATCCTGACCAGTATCAACTATTACAAATGACAAATATAGTACTATATAGTTATATTTTACATGCACTGTATATATTTTCATATATTATATAATTGTGTTGTAAAGCGATCTGTTTGAAAAAACAACAATTAGAACACCGAATTTCAAAAGTATGGTTCTGGTCAAAGTGTCCATCAGAGGAAAACTTGTAGCCTTAGGAGTTTGTATTAATAGACTAAGTATTGTTACAAACACAGATTTGCTCTGGTGCTTCACGTCTGAGTTTTGTGTGGATGGACAAACACTGGGCTAAGCCTCACATGCTCATTTCCTCTTCTCCTTTTTTCTTTTTTGTTTGTTTTTTAGACAGGGTTTCATTGTGCAGCCCTGGTTGTCCGGGAACTAGCTCTGTAGACCAGGCTGGCCTTGAACTCACAGAGATCCACCTGCCTCTGACTCCTGAGTGATGGGATTAAAGGTGTGAGCCACCATGCCAGGCACATGCTCATTTTCTTTTTTATCCTTCTAAACGCCCACTCTGTAAGGAAGGAAAAGGAAGCTCAGAGAGCATGTGAAATTGGTCTAAGGTCACACAGCTGGTAAATGATGGAGATGGGAATGGAACCTAGGCTTCCTCCTCCTGCCTCCCTTCCTTCCAAGTTTCCTGCCACCACAGAGGACCTTGAGTACTGGGTACCATGAGTCATTCGTCTGCTTTTAAAATAGCTTCACATTGTTCCGGGAAACCATTAAATCACAGAAGCATCTGCTGTCGCTCCTCATAGGAGCCATGTCTGTTTCCTTCCCTACTGTTTTCCAGATTTTAATAATTAGGAATCATTTTCCTTGAATAGACATCCTAAGTGTAGAGGGTTTGAATTCACAGATTTATTCTTTCTCTTGAACTTTGCTTTTCCTCCTTATTTTCAAAAAATCTAACTCAGTTACCTCCCTGAGGATTCCATAATGGCAATCCTGAAAATCCCATTATGGCTGCAACCACAACAAAAAGCATCCCCCAGTGCTGTGTGGGGGTGGAGGGATATGGGCCATGGGGTGAGGTGGTTCCAGATGCTGTGTGCAGGCTCCAGCTTGGCTGACTCAGAGGCTGGGCAGCAGCTTAGCCAAGAGAGGGACTAGAGAGTGGAGGTGGGGGTGGGGTGGGGAGAAAGACACTGAGGTTTCCTAGGGTCTACTGTGGCGCACCGGTCCTTCCTTGACCGTCCCTTCTGAGAGAAGGAGACTGAAGAGATGACGGCTGCACAGGGTCTCCCCGCTGCGCACTGGATCCCCACCAGCTCTGCCTGGCTGCAGCTCCCATGATCATTCTGCTGGCCTCCAAAGCACAGAGTGGCCCTTGCTCAGACAAAGCTCTACTTGGAGATTTCCTTGTGTTGCACCAAAAGGACAGTGTGACCCTGAGCCTCATTCCTGAGTAGTACTCCACAAACCAAGGCCAGAGGAGTTAGTTTGGCATACCCTGAGAAGGGGAACGGGTGGGGGCTCATTAGGAATAAGGCAGCCCGTCGTCCCTTCTGCAAAAACACCCAGACTCTAGCACCTGCCTGCACCTCAGGCCCTGAGTATTTAGACTAAGGTCATGGTGGTGAGGACAGGATGAGTAAATGGGGAGACCTGAATCTTGTGAAGCCAAGATAGAACCTATAGCGATACATGACAATCCTGCACTCCCTCAAACATGGCTGCAGAAGTGGTGCATTTCTGTGAACAAGGCGTAAGTCCAGGGAAGCCCTTTCTATGTTGTATTAGCCAATCACGAAAGATATTTCTATACCTAAAACATAAACCAATGCTTGTTTGTGTCCCTTGACTCTATCAGACCTCAAGGCCTGGGAGCCGATCTCCCTGCTCCTGAAGTGGGTCCCCAGAGCAGAACACGTCTAGCTGCTCGGTGACTCTGAGAATGGAGGTGTGTTTATGGGACCAAGCCCATAGCCTCGCTTTGTAGCTTAGGAAAGACATCAACTCAAGAGAAGATCACAGGGTGCAGGGGTTGCTGGGGCTGCAGGTCAGGCGGCAGAGTGCTTGCCTAGAATGCATGAAGCTCTAAGTTTGCTCCCTGATACCACATGAGGTAGACAAGGAGGCACACACCTATAATCCCATCACTCTGAAGGTGGAGGCATAAGGATCAGGTATCCTTAGCTACTTAGTGAGTGTGAGGTAAGAGCAGCCTGAGTTTCATGGGACCCTGTCCAAAAAAAAAAAAAAACTAGAAAAAGAAAGAGTTAATATTTGGGTGAGAACTTCAGAAACATAACTTGTTTAAAGGTAAGATTTGGTTCATTGCCCAGTTAAGCTCTGGCTGTGGGCATNAAAAAAAAAAAAAAACTAGAAAAAGAAAGAAAAGAAAAAAAAGGAAGGAAAGAAAGAAAGAAAAAAGGAAAAGAGACAATGGCTCATGTTTATTAAGCACTTACTACATCCCTGGTCCTAAACTCAGAGGTGTGGCCAGATTGTTGCTGTGTAAGGACAATGTTTCCACCAGCAAACCACAGTCCCTCTCCTATAGACAAAGGAACAGAAGTCTGAAGAGGCCACATTGCTTTCCTGAGGTCACACAGTGGAAAAGTGACCGAGGCAGGATTCACATAC